GAGTAGTCCTACGGCGTTTCACGTTATGAGGACTGGTGTTCAACACTGAGGGGGGATGTTGTCACTCAGTGAGATGCACACACACCCAGCTGATGACTTCTAAATCTGAAAAGATGCATGTCCCGTGTTATGCTGTTACTGCTGTTACTGAATGAATTACCAATAATGATACTGTAGGAAACGCCAATATTTTCTCTTGCCTTCCTCTGGGCAGAATACTTACACATTGCTGATATTTGCCTATGATATCTCCCGTCCTCTCAAGATATGGCACTCATTTCCATTCTGATCAGCAGTGCCCACTACACTCGTCTCTCTACTGAAATTCCGGGCTTGTACCTGAGCTTGTCGTCTTGGTTCTGTCTTTTCTTGGTGTTCATGAAAAGTTTCTTCTTCCTCCTATCATCTTCATTTTTGAAGTAGAACGTTGTTTACACTTTTCTCATTTAATGGTATAAACTCAATCGCGTCTCTCGGCAATGATTTATCTTCCTTCTGACTTCTGGAGCAGTTTTCTTCTACCATATTCACCTCCCTACGTGTATCCACGTTCTCCACATTTCACCTGATCTTCAACCCATAACGGTTTCCATTCACCTCTTTTTCTCCGCTCGAACTTTTCAGCATCAGCTTTTTGTTTCTATTCCACACCCCTGGTTGCCTGTTCCCGCTCATTTCTCAATCTTGTCATGTCCCATGGGTGTTGTTGGGGCCAGATCTTACTGTGTATTAGGAGCCGTGGTGTCCTACCATACACTAACTCGGACGAAGACGTTTTTGCTCCTTGCATGGAGGCACGATAGAGTAATAATACTAGTGGCAGTTCTGTCTCCTGATTCCCTCCTTTCAAACACAGCTACTTCCTTAAATGTATGGTTATTCCGTTCTGTCAAACCGTCAGTCTGTGGGTGGTACGGTGTCGATCTTATTCTGTTGATATCGAGCTGCCCAAAACGTGATTTCAATTCTCCACTCTCAAAACAATCACCTTGGTTAATCAATATCATCTTGGGCACACCGTAATCCGAGAAAATATGCCGCATCACCACTGCGGTCACTATCTTCGCGCATTGATCAGGAATCGTGACAGCGTCTACCCATCGTGTAGCATGCTCCATCATCACCTACAGGTATTGGTTGCTACTAGATGTCTGCGGGAATGGTCCCATTACGTGTACAGACCACAGGTCACCAAGTGCCTCCACTGGAGTCGACTGAAGCGGCGGTCGTTTATGCCGATCACCTTTCACCAACTGACAATGTGGACAGCCCAGGAAGTGCTTGGCGACATCTTCTCTCATGCCTGGTCAGTATGCACTTTGTCTGAGGAGGTCAGCTGTTCGTGAGACACCTGTATGAGCTAACTGGTGGCATTCTTGCATCATTTTGTTGCGTAGACATTTCGGAATCAATGCCAACCAGCTCCTGTCGTTTTCCCGCCACGTCAGCATTCCATGAGTATTCATCCGTGGGAGTTCTTTCTGCGCCAACAACGTTCTCAACTCTTTATTTCTGACAGACGTTTGTGTCTCCGTTCCTTCAGTTTGGCTTTTATCACTTCTTTAAGTGTAGGGTGCGACTTCTGAAGGCGAATCAGTTATAATGGGTCCCGTTCCACTGCATGTACACCGTATGCAATCTCAGGTAGTTCATTTTCCTCTTGACAAGAAGTCTGCTAGCCAGTTTTCTTTCCCTGTCACCTGACTGACTGTGAACTTGTACTCTTGCAGTCGCAACATCCAACATGATAATTTTCCTCTGGGGTCTCTCCGTGTCTTTAGCCGCTGGAGAGGTTTGTGATCAATTTCAATGTGATATCGTTGACCGAGGAGGCACGATCTCCATTTATTCAGCGCCCACACTATCGCCAGACATTCCTTTTCAACCGTGAAATACTTCTGTTCTGCATGTGTCAGGACACGGCTGGCACACTCCACTCAACTATTCCTTCAGTCTGTATCATAACTGCACCTATTCCATAATCACTCGCATCTGTGGACACAGTGAATGGCGTCACGGGTAATGGTAGTTTCAAAGTCATCTCCTAGCCATTTAAGAGTTCCTTAATGTGATCAAACGTTTTCAGTGCCTGCTCTGGCCACTTAAATTTGTGGGTTACCAAGTGGCTTGTATAAAGGTGCTGTTATCTCGTTGGACTTTTTGAGGAACCAATTGTAGAATGCTGCTCTACCCAAGAACTGTTGCAGTTCCCTTCTTGAATCTGGCACTGGAATGGTTTTAACCGTCAGAATTTTCTCAGGCAATGGTTTTATTTTACTCTTTCCAACTTTACGTCCTAGTGGTGTAACACTCTTCTCGGCTACCTGAGGTTTCGTCTTACTGATACGAAGTTCAAACTCATCAATGCATCTTAAAACAGCTTCCATGTGTTCTAGATGTTCGACTTCCATCTGACTGACTGTACACCACCAGGTTGTCACCATACACCTCTACATTCTCTAAATTCATCAGCAACAACATCGTCAATGGTCTAAATGTAAACTACGTGCCTGAAAGGCCAAATGGCACTCGTTCGAATTGGCATTGCTACTTGCCCACAATAAATCCTGTTTTCTCTCTATCGCCTTCTTTTATTGCTTGCAGCCAGTAGCCTATGAGGGGCTCTAGAACCGTAAATACTTTTGCACTCTGCAGATGATCCAGTGTTTCAGCTGCTGTTGGTATGGCAAATGGCTTCAGTTGCGTTGTGGTATTTAACCCTCGGAAGTCAGCGCAGAATTCATATTTCACGCTGGACTCTCTACTGATAGTACAGGCGAACTTCAGGGCTATCGACCTCTTCAATAATGCCTCCATTTGGCATTTCCTGAATCTGACACCCAACATCCTCTTCTAAGTGACATGGTATTCACAGCCTTATAAAAGTTATTATTGTTTGACTTGTCACTGGGATTTCATGCTGAACCTTGTCACAGTATCTGTAGAGGTTACCATCTCCCGTGAATAATCTGTCGTATTTCCTAACCAACTTCATGATGTTTGGCGCTTCTGAGTCAGGTGCTTTTGACACCTCCACCTCTTCCACCTCACTGTTTCTCTGCGTGGTGAACGACCCAAACTTTGTTGCCACTATCTCTGTTCTCATGTTAATAACTGCACTCACTTCTCTCAAGAAATCAGCACCTAGGACTGGCCGTTGTAGACGCGTGGTCACAATGAATGGAAATCTAATTTTCCGACTTCCGATCTTGATGACACAATCTGATAAGCCTGGGATTTCTAATGCATGACACTGCAGTGCATTGTGTGTGTGTGTGTGTGTGTGTGTGTGCTAAATGGTGGAAGTCTGTCGACAGAAAGCCTTATCTGACTCAGCTGTCGTGCTCTTTGATACTCGACAGTATGGCGTATTCGCAACCATCAAGAAACTGGTGGTACCTCGACTCTTGAACAGGCATCAATTATTACTGAAGTCAGACACTTAACCACTAAGCTGTTCAGGCCATGACCTACCCTCTGAAGGACTGCGTTATGTAGACACGTACTGGTCGTCAATGGGTAATGGATAGCATAGTATCGTACCTGGTGCTCACCAATCATTGACGTTCATTGAATAAGTTTACGAATACTTCTGAATTCTCACTCCATGGAGTTGTCATCATGTGATACGTGTTTTGAAACACCCGATACCTGTTTGTATTGGGCCTAAATCAAGCGAAACTCTTCTGAAATAGCCGCAATTACAATGTCATGAAATTGTCTCGAAACCCACATAGCAATATTGTCTTTACTGATTCCCACACTGGAATTATCCTAAACTCAGAAGACAAATTCATAAGATTGTATTGTCCTTGAGACGAACAAATCAGAAGTGAATGAGTCGTGTGTAGAAATTCCACGGGAAACAACTCATTGATTCATTTGCCTTGATTATCGATAAAATAACAGAGAATTTTGATGAGAAATTTGCTGTCGAAATAGTGAGAGGTCAAATTGGTCTTGGGAGTTATTGATAAGAACAGGAAAACTAATAGATTCTGTCGAATGCTTTATAATTTACTTCACAGTATGACTAAGATTACTGATGTAGTCCCCTGAGATTAGAATTTATTTCTCCGACCTCCGATATTCTTGACTACAGAAAAGCTGCAGTTGACCAGAACTCTACAATCTTTCTAAACTAAGTTTCACCGCATATTATATATCCGTTATCTGACTTTTATATTGGCTTAAATACCTACTGGCTAGTGGATGCTGAATGGTCTGAAATCCATTGAAGTTTAGTGGAACTGATGAGAATTTGCCACTTATAGTGAAACATTTATCGAAACATTGAAACTCAGTTTTAGTCAGTACCTGTATGAGATTGCGTGATAGAGGTCAAGTGTACCAGATATTTATTTTCTGTGTTCTACTATATGGCGAGCAAAGATGGAGGAAATGAGAAGGCGTAAGATGTTTAGTCAGCGCTGACATAGTAGCACTGGCCGTTTTCGTGAAACCGACTATTTAGTAGAGTGGGAGTCAGGTGGAGAGTTTAAGATAAACGTGGTTAGTCGATGGATGATACTGGGGTATACGTTGCGTAAACACAGCCACCACCTACCATGTCTCTCAGTAGTAACTGAATCAGGTGATGGCTAGGAAAAGCTGAGAGGTAGTCAGATTAAAGAATTGCATCAGTCTTCAATGTTTTTGCCTGTTGATCGGACAGGTGTAGGGGAGTGTGAACTTCCTGATTGGTGCCTGCATGATGACTGAAATGGATATTTGGAGGCTAGGCGATGGGGCTCAGATTTGACCACAGCAACAGAGAGACATTCCCATTTGTTCTTCATTATAATCGTCAAGTCAAATCCCGTGATATGCTTCATACCCTCTTCCTTTCTACCTATGTCTTGCTACTACGATGTGGGATTATATTCTACCAACCTAGACCTCCATCTGTTAGCTTACCGTGTCGATTAGTTGTGTAGCAGCTTGGATTGGTACGCAGAAATGCCGGCTCTCATGTTGATACTAACTGACTAACAGACTGTATGAAATTTGTCATACACTACTCACTTATTCTGTTATTATCATTGAAATGTTTACCAGATAAAATAGTCAGAAGACTGATTGCAGTTTTCTTACTTATCGTGTGTACTGTGCTGCTGATAAAGAATCGCCACCCAATACTCTATCTCGAATCCAGCAAAACAACAGCTTTGATTCAAACCAATGAGTATGGCATTCGTAATAATGACAAAAATGATCCTCGCCATCTACCACTGATATTTATTGGAGGCCATCAAAGTTCAGGTAAGCAATCTTGTTGAAATCACTTATTTTTGTTTTCTGTGAAAATGACTGATAAACACCCAGCGACTAATGGATTCTGTAAAGTTGTTTGCAAGGATCTGTGAGTTAGTTCACTTCACCGACCAACTTCACACAGAGAATCATCTGAAACAAGGGTGAGTTATACTTAGAGGACATCAGTAGAACTTCAATCCCTAATTACTCTCCTCTCCTACTACTTTGTGATGAAATGATGTGATTGTCGAAGTGCAGGAGTTAAAGTCTGGCACTAACGTCCTTTTGATGCATATGTCCAATGGAGGGAACGCTGACTAACTGGAATGAAACAGATATCTTCTCATCGATTCGGTCATCCGAAAACCACTGACTTGAATTTCAGCCACAAATTAAGCTATTTTCCCAAGTGATCATTCTTATGTGGATACAAATGTCTGGCAGACAAGTTTGGCAGAAATGACTTCCTCACTTCTCCTCTCAACATGATGAATTTAATCCTCCATAAATACCAGGAAAGGCGTGTTTAACAAATGATATTGAATACATAATTGTGAATACTGGAAATCTCCTTCATCGAAGGCACTAAATACCACAGACTCCTCACCTCACTCGAGTTTCACATAATTTAGAAGGAAGGAAGAAGAAGTGATCACTGCCTGAATTCTCTGAATGCTTTTCCTGAGTAGTAATAAACTGGTCATGCAACCATGGAATCCAAGGTCAACTCTAAGAAGTTAAACAGCATGTCCCAATATTCAACAGTCATCGATAATCTTTACTGTTCAAATGACCCACATTACTACATATGCGTTCGCTTGTGCAGTATAACCAGCACGAGTTGTTGATTTATTTGGAAAGTACTTGCCAGTCGTTTCTTTCATTCAGGTGTGGTTGCTGTTTAGTAGGACAAGAAGAGACGTGGCTCACTGGCTTTGGGAACTTGACTTCCAAGCAACGACTCTCGGTTTGAACCTGGATAACCGGGTAGTAACATAAGCTCTGGCAGTCTACAATATAAACATAAACTGGATTGAACTGCTTCATTTTTTCAATTTTATGTGTGGATTTATTGTTGTTGAATGTGAGGAGAAAGGTGTTGGAAACAACCGTTGGGCAATACACTTCTTGTTGCATTCCATCCTATTTGAACAAACAAGGTGTAAATCCTGTGTTCCTCTGCTAGGCACTAGCCATCATTAATATCGTCTTAAGATGTAGATAGTTAGGTGTGGTGGTGAATTACACTCTTGAGTAAAATTTCAAGGTGATAAGATGGAGTAATTTATCTTGGTTAACTTCAACATGTCATGTATTCACATGCATATTCAACAGTGATTAATTCGGTACAAATACCCACTCATTTCATGCCGAAACTATGCGAAAATGTGATTTAATTCTGTAAGAAAATGTGTGTAACTCAGTAGAAGAAGCTTCGAATGTATAAAAGTAGTTGCACTGCACTCAGAACCCGCTTACGACACTTTTCAGAGGGCTATTTTCTAATTTCGCTAAGAAGAAATCCGCTAAGATTGGGCCTAGTGGTGACGCCATAGCGACACCGTATGACTGTCTATAGAATTTCTTATTGAAGAGAAAGTCTACATTCATTGTACATCGTAAGAGAGGCTCTTTCAAGGTGGATGCCATAATTCCAATTTCTATATTTCTGTTTTCCAGTTCGCTACATATGAAGTCCACTGTTTCCATCAGAGGGACATTTGTGAATAGGGATAATCCGTCTAAGGATATGACAGACTTATTATTCACATTAAAATCTCTTATATTATCAATGAAGTGAAAAGTATCTTTGATATTAGAAAATGGCCGTCTGAAAAGTATCAAAAGTGGGTTAGAATTTTATTGCCATTATGCAGATGATACATTCTTGATTGTGAATAACGAGGACGATGCAAGGATCACACTGGATAAATTCAATAGCGTCCATCCATCAATAACCTTCACCACTGAGATAGAAAGTGATGATAGCATCACCTTCTTAGATGTCCGATTGACAAGGAAGGCGGATGGAACAATGAGAAGAAGTGTATATGGGATACCAACATCAACAGGTCAATACACCCACTTCTTGAGTTTCATCTCCTTGCAATATAAACGAAATCTAGTTAAATGTTTGGTCCATCGGACTAGACTCATCTGTTCCGATGATACTTTTGACAAACAGCTTCAAATTATCCATGATCTACTCAGTAGTAATGGATATCCAGAAACGTTTCTGGCTAAAAATATGGACACATCCAATACTAAAACCAGAATACCTACAGTCTCCAAGAAACCATTGTTCCTAAGACTACAATTTCGAGGTGACATCGTCAGCGAAATTGTGACACAACGCTTAAGAAATGCCAAAAGAAGATCATTTAATGGCGAAAAGATATGTTGTGTTCTCTACAGCCGACCGATGATGACCACACGAACTAAAGACAGACTATATGACTTCTCCTCTTCTATGTGCATTTACCAGTTCAACTGCTCCTGTGGAGCTAGTTACATTGGACGTGCAGTTAGGCAAGTCCGTCATCGAATCGCCGAGCATCACCCTTCATGGCTAAGTAAGGGGAAAACCAGATCGATACGAAGTTCGATACTCTCTCATCTGATTGGCACCGGCCACCAAGTTAACATTCATAATGCCTCTAAAGTTATTTATCATATTCCTTCTCACCTCATCCACGCTCTACGAGTTCGTCTTTTACATACAGCAGAAGCCATAGGAATCCACTGCACAAGCCAAGTCTGTGTGTTCAGAAGAGATTCGTGCAGCATCTTTCTTTGCCTTGGCCATCTGTATAGCTTATTTATTACAACAGGACTCTTCATTTCATTCACCACACAATTGATTATAACTAATATTTTAATAGCTCTATTATTATTATTATTATTACAGATTTAGCCATCTTCTTCTCCCCCTACTGTCTCTAATTGCAGTCAACAACTCACTACTTTAAGTAACAGTTCATTTTCGCTCTTTAGTAACCATTATACAAAATATCAATTATGTAAGAATAGATCATATGTAGGAACCTGTTTAGAATTTCAAAAAATCTTTCTACTATGATTAATTAATCTATGCTTTAGTTAATAGTCTTAATTACCTGATCAATATTCACCTTCTTGATACTTTGAGATTGATAATCTTTCATTAAACAACTTTCACCACTAGATTGGTATGTAATTTTACGTTTTGAAAATGCTATATTAGTGTAGAGCCATTGATGAGGAACTAATTGAAATTGAACATTACTTCGCTGACAATGTTTGATTTACTAGAAGAAATATATGCAGGTTTGCGCCAACAAACGAAGATATATGAACTGAATGGTTGGTGTCGATGATACATGCAAACAAGACAACCTAACTAAATGGATGAACATTTGATCACTTGTTCTTAACCGGAAAAGAACACTTGAACTATGAAGATCAACACTCAATGTGGAAGGCGATTAGTATTTTAGCCACTGATGCATTTGGATTTATTCATCCCTGTAGGTACACTTTCAATATTCCTGTACAACATGGTGTATGTGTCTTGCTCTAATCCAAATGTGTTAGCATTTCTTGTCAACAAATGGATCGTTTTATGGTGGTCATTCAATGTCAACATGAATCAAAGTCATTAGATGTATCAAATCCAGTACATTCACTCGGCTGAATAATCTTTTACACTTTCTTAAATCAACAAACGAAATAAATTCACAATTGGTCAAATACTTGTTATTAAATGATAATGTTTACCAGTAGAGTTCACGAAGCAAGTGTCTTCATATTTGGTTGGGATTTGTCGGCTGAAATTACACCTGCTTCGCAAAATCACTTGTTTCTCTTCTTCTTCGGGAACATAAACTCATTATTTGTCTCTTCAAATTCTAAAGCAATTAGTACCAGTCCTAATGCGTATCTTCTGTTCAGTCGGTGGTACGTTCACAGTTACAGCTTGATCTCATCTACTTTCCCGTTTTCAGGGTCAGATAATTCAGTTCAACTGACGATTTCAACACATCTTTATCCCTGATCTTACCTGTCTGTCACTACCTGTCACCAAGACACAACAACATACAAACGGAAGCAATACAAACACTATCCGTGTAACAAGCTGATATTTTGACTTGAGAAGATCAGTTTCATACTGAAAACATCACAGTCTAACTAGAAGAGAGGTTGTTGATACACTAGATAACATCTGGTCATGTTATTAACTATTCCCATTCATTTGATTGATCTGGTCAAAGCTGCACAGAATTACTAGGATCCTGATTGGATAAAAATATGGTTAATTCAAGTAGTCTTTCACTGGTCATTCAGTGAATTACGCAACACATGTTATCGCTCGAAAATCAGAAACATCATGGCCTAAATAACAGTTAACTTCACTATGCATTATTTCTTCTGGTCTATACACCTTTACCGTCTTTGTACATGTGTACTTCTAAATATTCTGCTGGTGTTGCAACTGTCTTTAGGTACCGGTTTACTTCGTATTCTCATGGATATCCACCCAGCTGTACGATGTGGTCCAGAACCAGTTGTTACCAGAGAAATATTGCTTTACAGATCAACGAAAATACCATCAATGGATTGGCTTTCACGGTCCGGTATATCCCAAGATGTATTAGACAATGCTGTGGCTGGTTTCATTGTGTCAATTCTACAAAATATGGGTCCACCTGCAGAAAGATTATGTCATAAAGATCCAGGATCATCTGTCTTCTTGAAAGATTTGAGCGTTTTATTTCCGAAAGCAAAGTTTATTCACATGGTACGTGATGGGAGAGCAGCTGTTGCATCTACAGTAGCGTGAGTTAAATCATAATATTGAATTTATCCATAAAGTGGAGTGAAAATATTTCACTCGGAAGACATGCATTCGGGCACCATTAGGTTGATGCATTTCTTGTATGAAAGCCAGAGATAATGCCAGGCTGTTTACAACAATGTAAGTGAATTGAATTGTGATTGTGCAGTCCAGTGGCAGCGAAGTAGGCACGAAATGCTTCCATGTAACAGCTAATTAGTTATTACATTGAAAGGGAATGCGTAGAACTTTATTGAAAATTCCGGTTGCTTTGAAATGTTGCAATGGATTTGTAGGTCAGAGTGAGGATAATGGTGGTTTGGTGTTGTCTGTCTGACCTTTGGTATTTCGTCGTGGAAGTTTCATCAACAGGGTTCATAAAGGTGTGAAATATTGGTTGTATTGTGTTCTCTGAGCTGGGTTGTTTAATAAACAGTGATTAAACAAGGCAGCTCAGAGAACACATTACAACCAAGACCATCCACCTGAGCTACAAATATTCCCCATTATTTCAAAATCATACGGGTGTGAAGTATCTTCGAACGTTGCATTTATGTTGAGGCAGTGTTTCCACTGATATCGAGTGGTGTCCAGTTGTGAATTGAGCAAGAGATTCTTATCACACCTCGACCTCTTCGGCCTTAGATTTCACCTTGTCACTCTGGTGCAGAATCTTCGTTAAAATGAGATTGTGTTGCTTGTTAGTGTTACACCGTGCTCCACTTTTGATTTGTTTGGTCAATTTTACCCTCGTTTGGTGGAAGGCTGTATTTCTTCATAAGCTGACTCTAGATTAGGCAAATATTCACGTGTTTGTTGATTAACTCCGTGTTGGAATGCCACAATTTTAGAAATGCTATCACAGGTTGCAGACCTGCTCTTCGGAATATTCTCACATTCTCCCAGATGAATTTTGGTTGTGATTGTCAGCCTAGATTCAAACTAAGAAGTCTGTGTCATGTCTTTGTGCTGCCAGTTTATGTTTTGGAATTGTTTCAGCAACCCGACGACTTTATTAGCCAACTTAGTTCTTTGAAAAATCCTTGCAGTCGATTTTGTTGATTATATTTGTTTTACATTCCTTTGACAATGGATAGTTTGGCCTACATAATAAACTGCAGAGTTACTTTGTTAATTTGTGTCACTCTTATCCAAAACGGACGGAGTGATCGGTTGAGCGTTTCTGAGACATCCTTGATATAGGATTTTGGAATATTCTTACAGATTACAGCCATGGAGGCTAAATATAATCCATGCGGCTCATAGTATGAGTACATTCAGACTTCCAATCATCTTTCCTTATAGTTAGACCATCTGCTTCGAATGGATGCAGACACCAACATCTTCATTTATCATCGGTTATGTGAAATGAATAGCCACCATCAGCAAGGTGCATCAATCAGTTAGTAACTAGCAACACCTGACCTAGCACTGCTGCGAAGCAGTTGAACAAGATGTGTGCACAAATGTGACTAAGTGGATACTCTTTTTAATGTTCGGTTACCCCACATCCAAAGTTCCAGTCAGGCACATTGTTATGTGGCTTCTTTGAATGTGAGGACAAGAATTAAATGGAGTCGGTTCACAGCAAAGAATGACTTAGCTTGCAGACATTAGGTGATACACAATTGCTTGTAAGCGCAATATGTGATATTCGTCAAACGAATAGACACTGTATAATCACAGTCTGACTAACACATGGTCACAGCGGAAATGACCACATCATCGGCTTACTTCTTCAAAATCCTATCGGTTCTATTTATGACAGACACAACGATGGGTTGGTTTTATATAGTTTTGACAATGAGACTGATCGGTGAGTTTAAACAAGTAGGGTGATATTGGGTGACACTTGCAGCATGTCAAGAGTGGACTGGAGTAAAACAAGTTGAGGAAAAATGTAATTCAACATAACTTGCTTGACAATGAGACCCACTGGTTATGACTGTGACTTCTGCACAAACCAGCACAAAACATACTCTAATCCAGAATTCCTTCTGATTGCCCATAACCATCTAATTGTTACATTATCATACTCTACATTGGAATTATCGTTTATTTCAGTCGTAAAATAAATCCATTATACAGTGATAAGAATATCACAAAAGCAATTCTGATGTGGGACTCATTTACATCAAGTATCATGAAGGACTGTGAATATATTGGGCGTAATCGTTGCCTGACTGTTCGCTATGAATGTCTCATTTTGAAACCGAAAGAAGAGATATTGAAGATCCTGAGTAAGTGTCAATTGGAACTGTACTTCATTCACCAATTGATCGCATTCACTTTCGCTGTTATTATTGAAAATTTTCACAAGGCATTCAAAGAAGAAATTCATTACTTTTCTTCACTTCACAATACTTATTCAGAATGTTTGGAGAAATCTTCGTCAACGTTTTGCTAGGATAATTTTGTGTCATAACTCACACATCACTTCATCATGCACTTAGTGTTTTCTTTTCCTTCTGTCTTTGCAACATCTGTAACATTTAGACGTAGACGAATGGAAGAAATTCGGTTATAGGAAACCTGATCCACGAAAAGATTCGATGAAACAACCTGCCAACTGCACACCTGTCATCATTATAACAGATAACTCTCCAAACGCAAATGATTATCAACGATTTCATGTATCCACACCTCTATTGAGACCTTTGATAAACTCTCATGGGAATGAGCAATACTTGACTCTCCATTATCAACACATTGGCTGGTCAGTCTACTTCACCTTCTGTTTTCACTTGAAATCGATATGAAATATGCAGCTGTTCCAGGTACGGACCAATTGTTGATTAGGTTGTCTGAGATGATTTTGATTGACGAACTAATTTCCCAATATGGGCGTGATGAATGAAAATGAGAAAGACCCTGCATGGAAACCTATTTATCACGCAAGTTGCTTTGTACTTCTGATTGCTATCTACAAAGATATTACGACTAGTCTGCCAACTTAAGTTAGCTCATGTGGTCTCATTAGAAATACATTTATTCAGCCATCATTTTACCGGTAGGAAGTGCTTTACATAAATATTAACATTCGAAAATGATAATTAGACTGTCTACCAATACACTGATGACTGACGAAATCAGAAATGCATATAAAAATCTCATGTTGGAAAATGCAGTGGTCTATAAGGTAGTTGTTTGGGTTACTGAGTTGCACAAATCATCCAGCTTTTGTACAACTTTAATGTTCCATCATGCTTTATCTCAATCCAATACACGTTCCATAGTGTTTTTGACCTGGAGAAAATTACGAAGTTCATTGAATCTGACAGTCGCCTTTTATTTGTAAGGCTTCACTTCTTCTGCTCTCCAAAAGCATTGTCAATGACACTCATTTGCTTGAGAAACACACTTCCAACTGAGTGAACACGCACAGTTGATAGTCAACTTTCAATCAGACAACTGGTCCCATACAATTCTGGTTCCAACTCCTCCACGGCTTTAGCCCATTTTCTAATCGAAGTTGCCATCTACCTGTTATTACATGTGCCCGGTCAAATAATTTCATGTTAAAACTTTCTCACATGTACAATGTTGTAACAAGATCTTATTGTTTAGATAAACAGAAACAGATTTCCCATAAGGCCGTTCTGAAGATGAGACAATCTTCACGAGTGTAAGCCAGTGTTCTAGATTATCTCATGACTGTTTATAGACATCTAGCATAAACGCCTACCTTGACAAGTGAAGCTGGTTTCACTGTTGACGGATATCTGTTAGAGAAACACTGGAAACTAGTGTCACCAGGTTGGAATCCATTAGTTTGCATCTCTCAATAGAACCTCTATTCAAGATCGTCGTTAAGACTCAGTCCTGACTAGTAACCAGATTGAATACACAGGTTACAGCGTACTGTCATGCCTTCAAGAGATCCATCCTGCCTCAAATCAATATTGAGTAACAGATTCGTATTCACTTGATAAGACTGAACACTATTAGTAAAATCATGATGGAAGAGAAGTTATAAGACTGATAGATGAAGTAAACTGAAGAGAAGAGTTAGTCTCTGAAATTTTCGAACATACATGATTGCAGATCTCAAGCTGTCTAAATGATGCTGTAAGAGTAGGGAGTGAAAACACTCATGTCTCTCGTTAGATGAACATGGAGCTTTGATCTTCGAACCAATTTGTTCTTTTTACCTTCTAGATGTCTCTTTGCAGAATTAGATATCATCGGTGAAGATTTATAGCAGATATTGGTCTATCCACATAATTAAACTGAAACACTGGCCTAAACGCCAATCACATCTGGACATCTACATCATTTTATGCATCGTGTTTCACTACCAAATTTTAGAAAACTTTTGTAAAGACATGATAAATGCATAACGCTTTATGTTACAGGTTTTCTTGATCTTCCATGGGATGACAGACTTTTGCAGCACGAAAAATTCGTCCATAATGTTTCCATGTTGAATAAGTAAGTTTTGATTTGTCTGTATATCATCAATGGTCAAGTTATGAGGTTAATATTAAAAATGTTGTGAATGATATCCTAATGAAATATTGATGAATAAATACCATTGACAATGGGACATGAACTCAGCTATGACACAGATTCCCATCTCATTAGCTCGAATAAAGTAGGATTAGTCTGTTCAACCATAGTTATCTGAAGTGAAGTCAACAAAATTTCAGCATTATAAAGAAAGTCTTTGTTAAGATACTGAATGATTAATTGCTGCGAAATGCAGGAATTCCCCTTTTGTGAAGTTGAGAAGAGTAAGAGAAGCAAGTGGATCAGCCTTTTAGTGGGTGGAAGTGATTGACATTGACGTAGGGTTTTGAAGAATCGACAACAGAAAACTGAAAGAAAACAATGACAAAGTGAGTACCAACCGGATCGCTAATAGTGAAACTGATTGCAAAAGCATCCATCCCACGATTGCAAATTCTTGTCTCACCGCTCATCAAATCATTATTATTTGTCCACTAACTAGGTAACCCACTCGTCATCATTGAAATAAATCCTTTGGGAAATTCTTTCAAACCAATCAACCACACGTCTGATGACATCAAGATGACAACTCGAGAGGATCCATGTTTTGATCACTGAGACTGATTATGGAAAAATGAGAAGTCAGGTATACAGAAATCCATCTCACACTGACCATGTATGATAAATGACAGTAATAATAATGGTGGATGGTTGCCAACAGTGAAATGCAGCATCTGTTTCCTCATATTTTATGCCCGTCGACTGAATGTACTTACCATCAGATCTGATATTCACCCCACTGAAAAGTATTCCAATCACCCATCACTTCTAACACCAAAACGTTATGTATTAGGCTGCTTACCCAGTTACGATAACTGGTCCTTATGATAGGGTTTACCTTCATGTTACTGCTGAGTGTTGCTCTTCAGTTCTCAAATAACTGAAAATCCACTTCCTGGTTTCCACTTCTTGCCAATATCCAGCATTACTGTCACACTGATATTATCAGCAACATTAAATCATACGTTCTACAGTGTACAATTTAATAGTAGTATGTCATTTCAGTTCAATCAGTGACGAGAAGCTACAAGCTATAGTGTCAAAGATAATCATCATTAAGAAGATATTAATCTATTGAGGAAGATGAGCTTCTGAAGGTTGCACACACATCTTGCTGATTATATCGAACAAGCATTCAGGTTGAGTGAAGTCAGGTTCCAAACCACCTGATTCACCAAATCCAACATCAATATACAATTCACCACAATGTCATACCAATTAGATTAGTAGCTGCAATTCAAACGTTAACCGATAAACTTGACAGCTGCGTCATTCACCAATTTATGTAAAGCAAGTTTGAATTCACTTATGTACTTTATAACAAATGACAATTGTGCTCTATTCCTCTTACTCCAGATATGAAGCTAGTTCTGTACAAGTTGTTAAGCCTATCCATACAGAGTCTTTAACTGCTTGGGAAAAAATGGTTCTGTCATCCCGAAGGAATACATTGCAACTATGCATCACCATAGTCAATTGTTAATGAAACTTGGCTACGTCACCAACGAAATCCCACCCAACTATGAGGATTTATGTAAAGTTGATTTGAAACTGTGAACTGAAGTGAAAAAGGGAAGAAGCAGAAGAATAAGTAAAAACAAAGAAAGACGATGATGATGTTATTGATGGACAAGTCGAATAAAGATGATTTGTAAAATATAATCATGACCTTTTATCTCTCTAAATGTGTATTTTGAAGTATGTAATCTGTGAATTCATTTTCATTCAGTACTTGCCTATTTCATATACATTGCTTATTCCAATCGAATAAATTATCTAATGTAAGTATTCATATGTGAAAAGGTGAATTTCTGAACACAACTCAATACATATATATCGAATACTACTCGACTCAGAATTTATACTAAGTGTTAGGTTAAGAATTATTAGTTGTCGTTATACACTCATAACATCTTGATACTGATCTCTAGAATACTATCTGAACACTAGTGAAAGACACAAACGATATGTCTGGGAATGCAAGATTTGTTACCTCGCAAAGAGACGAAAACTCATTAAATGTCAGTCTTCGATGAATAACAACTTGAAAAATATAACTGTTTATATAGTTATTTACTGGATCAATAACTATCAAATTTAATATCGGAAATGTTGTCATCTCAAACATTGTTTGATAATGGGCATATAATATATGAATAACACTAAGGCTCACTAAGTAAAAATAAGATCAACATAACACTACATTCAATCAAAGCTAAGGAAGAATATTTGTCTATGGAACTAAGTGTGACAATCTAGGAACTTTTTTGTCGCTAGACTTCGTAAACTATAAAAGTCTCCTGGGGATGGGTAGTGGAATCCAGAATACGCGTTTTGTCGTATTTGGGACTCGTCAGTTGGATGTACCTGACTCCCAGTGATTGATGTTGTTCCCATTAGGGCTCGAACTTGGGACCGACCACTTTAAACGGCCAAGCGTTGTCCACTAGACGACCGAGCCATGATAAACACTTCTTGTGCGATGGGTGTCGTTTTAGTGTTATTGCTTGTATCATACAGTCGTTGAGTTGGTCGGAATGATTGGTCTCTATTGGCATGTGGACTCCTACGTGGATGCCTCGATATTGTTTGTTTGAATCAAATATATTCATGACGAATAGTGGTTACCAGTGAGATGATACAACCAATAACACTAAACTATACCCGTCTCACAAGAATTGTCCATCATGGTTCGATGGTTATGTGCACAATGCTTTGGCGTTTTGAGTGGTAGGTTCCTGTTATTACATGTGCCCGGTCAAATAATTTCATGTTAAAACTTCCTCACATGTACAATGTTGTAACAAGATCTTATTGTTTAGATAAACAGAAACAGATTTCCCATAAGGCCGTTCTGAAGATGAGACAATCTTCACGAGTGTAAGCCAGTGTTCTAGATTATCTCATGACTGTTTATAGACATCTAGCATAAACGCCTACCTTGACAAGTGAAGCTGGTTTCACTGTTGACGGATATCTGTTAGAGAAACACTGGAAACTAGTGTCACCAGGTTGGAATCCATTAGTTTGCATCTCTCAATAGAACCTCTATTCAAGATCGTCGTTAAGACTCAGTCCTGACTAGTAACCAGATTGAATACACAGGTTACAGCGTACTGTCATGCCTTCAAGAGATCCATCCTGCCTCAAATCAATATTGAGTAACAGATTCGTATTCACTTGATAAGACTGAACACTATTAGTAAAATCATGATGGAAGAGAAGTTATAAGACTGATAGATGAAGTAAACTGAAGAGAAGAGTTAGTCTCTGAAATTTTCGAACATACATGATTGCAGATCTCAAGCTGTCTAAATGATGCTGTAAGAGTAGGGAGTGAAAACACTCATGTCTCTCGTTAGATGAACATGGAGCTTTGATCTTCGAACCAATTTGTTCTTTTTACCTTCTAGATGTCTCTTTGCAGAATTAGATATCATCGGTGAAGATTTATAGCAGATATTGGTCTATCCACATAATTAAACTGAAACACTGGCCTAAACGCCAATCACATCTGGACATCTACATCATTTTATGCATCGTGTTTCACTACCAAATTTTAGAAAACTTTTGTAAAGACATGATAAATGCATAACGCTTTATGTTACAGGTTTTCTTGATCTTCCATGGGATGACAGACTTTTGCAGCACGAAAAATTCGTCCATAATGTTTCCATGTTGAATAAGTAAGTTTTGATTTGTCTGTATATCATCAATGGTCAAGTTATGAGGTTAATATTAAAAATGTTGTGAATGATATCCTAATGAAATATTGATGAATAAATACCATTGACAATGGGACATGAACTCAGCTATGACACAGATTCCCATCTCATTAGCTCGAATAAAGTAGGATTAGTCTGTTCAACCATAGTTATCTGAAGTGAAGTCAACAAAATTTCAGCATTATAAAGAAAGTCTTTGTTAAGATACTGAATGATTAATTGCTGCGAAATGCAGGAATTCCCCTTTTGTGAAGTTGAGAAGAGTAAGAGAAGCAAGTGGATCAGCCTTTTAGTGGGTGGAAGTGATTGACATTGACGTAGGGTTTTGAAGAATCGACAACAGAAAACTGAAAGAAAACAATGACAAAGTGAGTACCAACCGGATCGCTAATAGTGAAACTGATTGCAAAAGCATCCATCCCACGATTGCAAATTCTTGTCTCACCGCTCATCAAATCATTATTATTTGTCCACTAACTAGGTAACCCACTCGTCATCATTGAAATAAATCCTTTGGGAAATTCTTTCAAACCAATCAACCACACGTCTGATGACATCAAGATGACAACTCGAGAGGATCCATGTTTTGATCACTGAGACTGATTATGGAAAAATGAGAAGTCAGGTATACAGAAATCCATCTCACACTGACCATGTATGATAAATGACAGTAATAATAATGGTGGATGGTTGCCAACAGTGAAATGCAGCATCTGTTTCCTCACATTTTATGCCCGTCGACTGAATGTACTTACCATCAGATCTGATATTCACCCCACTGAAAAGTATTCCAATCACCCATCACTTCTAACACCAAAACGTTATGTATTAGGCTGCTTACCCAGTTACGATAACTGGTCCTTATGATAGGGTTTACCTTCATGTTACTGCTGAGTGTTGCTCTTCAGTTCTCAAATAACTGAAAATCCACTTCCTGGTTTCCACTTCTTGCCAATATCCAGCATTACTGTCACACTGATATTATCAGCAACATTAAATCATACGTTCTACAGTGTACAATTTAATAGTAGTATGTCATTTCAGTTCAATCAGTGACGAGAAGCTACAAGCTATAGTGTCAAAGATAATCATCATTAAGAAGATATTAATCTATTGAGGAAGATGAGCTTCTGAAGGTTGCACACACATCTTGCTGATTATATCGAACAAGCATTCAGGTTGAGTGAAGTCAGGTTCCAAACCACCTGATTCACCAAATCCAACATCAATATACAATTCACCACAATGTCATACCAATTAGATTAGTAGCTGCAATTCAAACGTTAACCGATAAACTTGACAGCTGCGTCATTCACCAATTTATGTAAAGCAAGTTTGAATTCACTTATGTACTTTATAACAAATGACAATTGTGCTCTATTCCTCTTACTCCAGATATGAAGCTAGTTCTGTACAAGTTGTTAAGCCTATCCATACAGAGTCTTTAACTGCTTGGGCAAAAAATGGTTCTGTCATCCCGAAGGAATACATTGCAACTATGCATCACCATAGTCAATTGTTAATGAAACTTGGCTACGTCACCAACGAAATCCCACCCAACTATGAGGATTTATGTAAAGTTGATTTGAAACTGTGAACTGAAGTGAAAAAGGGAAGAAGCAGAAGAATAAGTAAAAACAAAGAAAGACGATGATGATGTTATTGATGGACAAGTCGAATAAAGATGATTTGTAAAATATAATCATGACCTTTTATCTCTCTAAATGTGTATTTTGAAGTATGTAATCTGTGAATTCATTTTCATTCAGTACTTGCCTATTTCATATACATTGCTTATTCCAATCGAATAAATTATCTAATGTAAGTATTCATATGTGAAAAGGTGAATTTCTGAACACAACTCAATACATATATATCGAATACTACTCGACTCAGAATTTATACTAAGTGTTAGGTTAAGAATTATTAGTTGTCGTTATACACTCATAACATCTTGATACTGATCTCTAGAATACTATCTGAACACTAGTGAAAGACACAAACGATATGTCTGGGAATGCAAGATTTGTTACCTCGCAAAGAGACGAAAACTCATTAAATGTCAGTCTTCGATGAATAACAACTTGAAAAATATAACTGTTTATATAGTTATTTACTGGATCAATAACTATCAAATTTAATATCGGAAATGTTGTCATCTCAAACATTGTTTGATAATGGGCATATAATATATGAATAACACTAAGGCTCACTAAGTAAAAATAAGATCAACATGACACTCAATCAAAGTTAAGGAATATTTAGTTTATCCTTTACATGGAATACACTGATCATTCAGCCGCCTTTCTATCGATTCTGATAACAATTAATAAATCACCTCAGAGTATAGTACAGTTAGAATATGATTTCCTGTTTCATCTGGATTTTGTCAACATAGTTGGTTACTGAATAGAGAATAAACTGAAAAGAACACGTTTAACTCAGATTTATCATGTTGGAAAGTTAAGCACACTAAAACTAGAATATGATTAACTGTGAATCATATAGGAATATATAACTGAAGTTTCTCCCCAAAACTACTGAAGTTGATGTTTACACACGCTAAGTGACACAACAAGCAACCAACTTCAGTGTTACGGTTAGATGCATACCTGATTATACTTCAAAATTTAACTATGTGGCAATACTACTTTATTTATTCACTTGATTTAACAGTTCTTCTGTTACATTCTTTCAAAAACTGCTCATATTAAAGTTCACTTTATAATCAATAAGACTGTCCTTCTCAGTGTTGCTGCAAGCACATACAGGTAATGTAAAAGTCATACAAAAGTACCTCATAAAGTATGTGTGCTACATCACTAAAATCACCGTATTGTGCTGTTTTGACTTCAATTCAGGAATTTGAACAATAAAGAACAAAGAGATTTGCAGAATAAAAAAAAAAACTCACTTTATTTCACGACCTTTCATTAACAGCTCACAACTGATGTGAACTATTAGTAGTAATCATCAAATAACATAATACACATATCTGGAAATAATTCAAACTTAATATCCAGGATTCACAATCAAGTAGAGAGTCAAGGAAACAGAGAATCAATAAACACAAAACCTAGTCGAAACCACTGACAATTTTATCTAATGAGACAGAAAATTCTGGACATGTAGAAAATGAGGATGACGAAAAACAGAGAGGAGTGTGGGGGAGAAGGGATTGTCAAAATGATATGAAAAGCTGCAAAAATGTTAGATTTATTGGTTAACAGACAGTAAGTAGGCTCTTAATAAATTTACACATTCACTTACTCTCTGATAACAATTTCAAATTAGTTTTCATAGGTTAAGAAGAGAAAGCACAATTACCACTTGGTTGGTTATGAATGAATAATAATCCAAAATTTTAATGAGGAAACTACCTTATTATTTTTGTGATCAACAGATTAATCAGAAATATGTGTGTGTGTGTGCTCACTTTCAACACTAATGAATTTAATTGTAAGCCAAGATTGGTTAACACCACCAGTTTGCTAAAACAGTTTCATCTTAATGCATACGTATACACTTTCATGCCATACCTCGACATCTCTTTTGCAATCTAAGCAGCCTTGGTAGGTTCATACATGGCGGGGACATTCTATGTTCTCATCCTTATTTTCACTTTCATCAAGAGAGGACAAATCGGCCGGCTGGCTTCCTAAGGCTTTCATCAACCAGCGTCACTTCGTCTCTCCAATTCCAGCGAGGAATAAATTTGTTTTTATTTCTTATAATTTCTTTGTGCTTAGAAGTTCCTTTAGCGATTGGTTTTGTTTTAGGTGGTAGGGTTGCTAGCCTCAAGCCCAACCCTTCCCTCTTTATCCGGGTTTGGGACAGGCTAGTTAAACTAGGAGAGGTTCTCTCTTGTCACTACAGCATTTAAATTTATGAAAGTAAATGAATGCTTTAAATGTAAATCTCTATACCATCCTAGGGCACTTTGAGAATAATACGTTGGTATTTCCAAGCGATTTTTGGAAGGCATAATTTTTCCGCAAAAATTACTGATATAAAATGGATGCACATAAATATTGATGGAACGCTAACTTTAAAAGGATGTTATCTATTTAGTACGGTAAAAATGCTTCAAGTGAACCCAAATTTTGAGGAAGATCCAGTCGATGCTATTCAGGGGATACATAGTCGTATCCTTTAGAAAAAGGTTGAGAAGTGTTTTCCGAACTCTGAATTCTTAACGGCTTGAAAGGCGAGAACCTTCCCATTACCACCTGCATTTACGAACTTTTGTTTGCCAAGTTCTGAGAAGTCAAGCGTTTATTATTCTGGAGCGCATCCTGACTAAAACGGTCGCAGTTAACTGCAAATCTGTTCGACATGAGGTAACTGAATATGTTTTGTTAAGTGTTTCAATGTTGAAATATTGTTTAGAACAGATGTTTTGAGCCAACAGGTTGCTAGCTGTTTGATAATGAATGGTTGGTGTGACAACCCCTAAAGCAATATACTCTTTTACGCTCTCACTTTAACACATAGAAGTACTTTATCGATTGTAAGTAGTATGGACTCAGTTATCAATGAGCGTTTCAGTTCACGACTAACAGCTACTACATTGGGATGTCAGCCTGACTTATGAAACAAAGTTATTGAATGAGTTGAAACGATTGTTCCTTGAGGTTTTATCACGCTAGAAAGGTTGACTGGTTATTGACAAAGGTATAAGTAGTTACCATATTACTTTATATATATTATTACAGTGGAGAGCTGAATGATAATTCGTAAAACTGGTTAGACGGAGGTTAGATGCATTTGAAGTGACTTTATAGTACAACCAGGATTTCAGCTGTTCTGCCTTCCCACTCTGAGATGGAAGGATTAGAAATGGTCGTCATTAAAAGTCTGCATTCTACTGTGTACTAGAATTTCATATCGCTGGTGGTACAGTTCACCATGTAGGCATGCTGATTCGCTAAAAGCACTTCGAAAAACCAAGTAAAGAGTTTCCCAACAGCTATCTTTAGAGTTCATATTTATGTAGAACTAATGTATTTCTTCCTTTCAGATACCTGAAGATACTGAATTCCACAGTCTAAGACATAAATGAAATCGATCGCGCTAACGGTTATGAGGACAAAATTTATCTCATCCACTTCGTCTTCGTAACCACCCAAAGAAACAAAAGTTGCTTTTGTTAATACATCTGGTTACGGACAATATTAACCCAAAATATAAAAGAATAACAATTTATAAAATGAAATACATCTTCAACTTGAATTAGGACATTATTGCGAAAAAATAAATACAATAACACATAGCCTTAAGCGTGCTCATAGTAGTTTGCGCTTCAATAATAAATAATTTTTCTACTACTCAATAATATAGATTGTATTTGAACATCATGAATACGATTTGGAGAAAAGAGGTGAAGTAATTTAAGAGATACAAAGAGACAGCAAATTAAATGTATTGACAACAGTAAGTGCAAAAAAAATATGCATATAATTCACCTAGTGTTTAAACATGTCTTTTCGATTACAACAGAAAATCTAGGATAATTCACAATTAGGAATAAGTTACTTTTTCGACTGCGTTTGATCAATTATTGGACTAAGTCCGGCAACGTTTTCAAGACGGGTACGCGTTGAAGATATAACATCAGTAGTATCAGCCACTAACAACGAAATTATAAACAAGAATAATTCATTAATCATGCTCCAAACAGTGGTCGTAAACAATTGACTGGGTGAGTAATAAATAGGATAATAATAATAATAATAATAATAATAATAATAATAATAATAATAATAATAATAATAATATGGGAAATGAACTATAAAAAATATTCCGATAACTGTAAAAATCCTGTTGGTGAAGCATAGTAAACAATAATGATTCCTAAGATTACTCTGCTCTATGCCTTTTCTTAATGCGTATTGCGATTTCGTATATTCCTATTCTCCTCCTCTTACAGTTTTTTTCAAACCACTTCTGACATTACAGTAGTCGTAGCTTTGTATTCTTTTTCTTGAACTCTATATCAATGTATTCATTATTAGACGATTGGTCAATGCCTTCCAACGTTGGAATTTGAGAATATACGCAATGAATTTTAGTTGTTAGTGTGATATTCATAGGACTAGGCTTCTAAGTTGACTTTCATTGATCAATGCTACTATTATCAACTAACCTCGCCTAGTTAACTAGTTCACTGGTTACTAGCCGGTCCTAAGCCCCCGTAAAGAGGGAAGGTTGGGCATAGGGATAGCAACCCTACCCCGTAAAACAAATCTAACCGCTAAAGAAACTTTGAAGCACAAACGAAATGTAAAAAATAATAACAAAATTATTCCTCGCTGGAATCGGAGAGGCGAAATGACGCCAGTTGGTGAAAGCCTTCGGGAAGCCAATTGGCCGATGTGTCTTCTCTCGATGAAAGCGAAAGTAAACGTGGGGACATGGAATGTCCGCACCATGTTTGAACCCAGTAAGGCAGCCCAGATTGCAAAAGAGATGAGAAGGTATCACATTGAAGTGCTTTGAATTTGCGAAAGCAGATGGAATGGGAGTGGACTCTCCAAACTGTCAACTAGAGAATCAATAATCTACTCACCCAGACGACAACCACGAGCACACTGAGGGAGTGGCTATCATGATGTCGCCAAGAGCATCGAAGGCTCTCTCTCATGCAGTGGGAACCAATCTCCTCCTGCAGGATCATGACAGCAAGATTCAACTCAAAAGGAAGGAGGGAAGGTCACAATCATACAATGCTATGCACCTACAAATAATGCAGAGCAAGAGAGAAAGGAGGAATTCTACAGACAACTGCAATCAACACTTAACAAGACCTCAGTTGGCGATATCAAAATTCTAATGGGCGACATGAATGCCAAACTGGGAGCAGACAACACAGGAAGAGAACTAACCATGGATCGAGAAGCGCTAGGTGAGGTGATGAACGAGAATGGAGAATTGTTTGCAGAATTCTGCGCATTCAACGATTTGGTGATTGGAGTGGGGCAGTGTGTTCAAGCACGAGGATATCCACAAAGCGACATGGATTTCACCAGATGGACACACTAAAAATCAGATCGACTTCATCTCAATGTGAGGAAAGTGGAGACGCAGTCAGTCTACTTGACAACAAGGTCAAGAAGAGGAGCAGATGTAGGTTCAAACCACTCACTGTCTAGTGCAAGGAACCTTCCAAATCAAGTTAAAAGCCTTCAAGGAAGCTGGTGATAGACCACAGTTCAAGTACAACACCCAGAACAGAAACTGAACTGAAGGACGAAACTTCACAGAAAATCTTCACGGCAGCTAGCCATAAAGACAAAATGGGGGATATCGAGGAACATCCGTGAAGAAACCTGTACGGAAAAACACTGTAAGTCCTTGAAAGAGTTGTGGAAAAAACCTGCACAACAGTATTAGGAAGGTAGAAGAAAGAAGATAAGGAATGGATCTCTATGGATACATGGAAAGACAAAAGACACTTCTACGGAACCCTGATAAGTGAAGCAGAACAGGCTGCAAGTAAGAGAGACCTGACAACATTGTATCAAATAACCAGATTACTATCTGGGAAGAGATCAACTCAGACGAAACCAATAAAAGATGATGATAGAAATTTAATTACGAAAGAAGAGAAACAAAGGAAACAGCGGGCTGACCAATTCAAGAAGCTCTTGAATCGACCACCACCACCAACTGCACTTCGTCCAGAAATACCACCTACAACCGCTGAAATACAAGGGAACATGAATCCTTCAACAAAAATGGAAGTCCTGAACGCCATAAAGCAAACGAAATGCGGGAAAGCAGCAGGACCAGATGGAATACCGTCAGAAGCACTGAAAACAGACACAAAGACAACAGCGGACATGCTCACACCACACCACTATTGCAGAAGGTGTGGAATAAAGGGAAGGTACCTGCCTATTGACTGGAAGAAGGGTTACCTTGTCAAACTCCCGAAGAACGGAGACCTCAGTGTCTGCAAGAACTGGCACGGAATCACTCTCCTGTCCACCCAGAGCAAGCAAAATATTAAGCCGCATCATCCTGGAGAGGCTAAAGGATGCACTGGATTCAAAACTACGGCCGGAACAGGCAGGCTTCAGAAAGTACAAATCATGTGCAGACCAAATTGTAAAGCTTCGCATCATCATAGAACATAGTATAGAATGGCAGTCAACTCTACATCTCAACTTTATCGACTTTGAGAAGGCCTTTGACAGCGTCGACCGAGAAGTAATTTGGAAACTGCTTCATTACTACGGAGTACCGCAAACCTTTATCAGCCTCATTCAACAACTATATGAAGATGCCACATGCCAAGTAATTCACAATGGGAAGCTCAGTGATGCTTTTGAAGTGAAGACAGGAGTGAAACAAGGTTGCCTACTATCACTGATGATTTTCCTGATTGTGGTCGACTGGATCATGCAGCAGACAGTGGGGAGCGAGAAGAGGGGGATACGCTGGACGGCGGAAAAGAACCCAGAAGACTTGGATTTCGCCGATGACTTGTGCCTAATGTCACACAAACTTGAAGATCTGCAGGCAAAAACTAACAAGTTGGCAGAAGAGGCAGGGTGGCGAAGACGGGACTTCAGGTGAATATAGAGAAGACAGAGGTGATGAAGATACCGCACCAACAACAACAAAAACAACAAACTCCAATCACCATCAACGGGAGAAACTTGAAGGAAGTAACCTCCTTCACCTATCTAGGCAGCACTGTTTCAACTACAGGCGGCACAGACGAGGATGTCAAAGTCAGAATCGGAAAGACAGCAAGACAGGCGTTCATTAGCCTGAAACCAGTGTGGAGATCTTCTGCACTCAGCATGTGAAACAAGATACGGTTTTTCAACACCAACGTCAAGTCAGTGCTCTTGTATGGCTCAGAGACTTGGTGCGTTACGAAAGGGATTTCCAACAAACTACAGACATTCATCAACAACTGCCTACACTGGCTAGTTACTCAAGTTCAGATGGCCAGAAAGAATAAGCAACAAGGAGCTCTGGGAACGAACCAACCAAGAACCTATCACGCAACTAATATGCAGGAAGAAGTGGAGATGGATTGGGCATGCACTGAGAAGGCCGACTGGGGACATCACGCGCCAGGCCAATTGCTCGAGTGGAATCCCCAGGGGAAGCGACGAGTTGGGCGTCCGAGGTGAGGGTGACATGGAGGAGATCGTGCGAGGAGGAAATGAGAGCTTGTGGGCTGTCGTGGAGCCAGGTTCAAAAGATTTTAGAGGACAGAGTGGAATGGAGACGTGCTAATGAAGCCCTATGTTCCATTAGGAACCCAAGGGACCAATAATAATAATAATAATAATAATAATAATAATAATAATAATACTATTGTCATCTAAGTTTCAATGGTATTATTTTTCCTAAGCGTAAACTGAGAGAGCAGTATATAAAACTGGTATTAGGAGAAACAATGGATACTGAGAACTAGGCAACAGTACTCTCCAGTAACCACCTTCTTTACCAGCAAACATTAGGAAGGAGCTGTAAGTTAGTAGAAATTACACGGAAATTTCATCGTATGATGGCTGGGGTATATGAATTAATGTAAATATATCAGAACCTGACTCCATCAGACACACTAGTTCATAAAAGGAAAACATGAAATCTCTCTCAAAAGTGGAGATGTAGACTTTTTTTAATTCAATTTCTTCAGGTACACTGAAGAGTTAAAACTGATTTATGGTTTTGCTGTATTACATTTCACCCATTGGGTGAAACTTAGTATCGTGTGGTGTTTAACCAGCATACACTGATAAAGACAGAACCCAATACTGAATCATAAGATTCTTCTCAGAGAGTAACTCATTTTGCTACACTTGTATACAAAACGTAACTGTCTATAGACCCAAAATGCTGAATAACTTCACTAAGAACAACAACCACAGTAATAAAAATTATTATTATTATTATGTAATGATAGTAACAGTAAGTATTTGCAGAGAATTGGTACATTTTTAACCTTCCAGTATCCTTCAACAAGGGTATCAGTGTATCACCAACACCGTGTTATTCGGCAGTTTTGTTGGAGGGTGATTTTTTGTTAAGCTATCAGCCTATTCTATTGTGAGAGAGCGTAGGATACCAACAAAATGATCAGATCAAAGTAGGAAGTGCAAGGTTTTAAACTCTAGATCAAGTCGATGAACACTATGTCGAAATTAGTAAATGTAGGTAAATGAATTTCACAACTGTGAGGTAGAAGAGAATGGGCATGTAAAAAAGAATAGAAATAATTCACTTACAATTTTTCGTTACAGTATCTATGCTAAGTAATAACTGGTGATATTTTCGACGATATTGTTTTACTTGACTTTTCAACTTTTGAATTTCATCATGAGAATGTGATGATTTTGTTTCCATTAGACAATTGTGATTATCTTCACTTGTTTTATTATGTGTATACTGTATGTCATGCACACTTGGGTGCTGAATCCAATCAAGCAATTGTTGTAAATCTGTTAAAATGTTTTCAGCTGTTTGACTATCAGACAACTGTTAAGCATTTCAAAACGAAAACAAGAGAGGGGGAGACAAAGCTATTATCATATCGATAAATGGAACTATGTTAAAGTGATTTCTATGAGATGGGTTCATGATTTGAGAACATAAATCGTATTGTTGTACATATTTACCATATCATAATAATGCGAATTCATTAAACGGGGGATTGCGATTAGGACAAACTTAACGACCAATATATGCATTGTCGTAACACTAAAACCTACATACACACACATGCACACAAATGACTGTAACTACATTAGGATATTGGGATAGAATTTTCACTTGAAAGCTAGCAAATCAACACTAATATGACGCGAAAATCATTCTGAATCGTATGCTTAATTCTAACAACGATCTTATAAAGATTATATGGATGGTTATATAGTAGAAGTTGTACCGCAATCTTAGATGCTTAGAGATACTGACCAATTGAATCAAATGAACTGATGATGACTGTTCGATAACAATAAGAGCATTAAGAATGTAGACCCGGTGTATTTCTAACTCATGAATACCTTTTAGGCGTAAAAGTGTATACCATATCCCACAGCCATTTAGATATCACAAACACTGTTTCATATTCACTAGGTAGGCAGGTATTTGAAAGTAATTGTGAATCAGGAATTGCATTGAAAAGCTTTTTCTTTATGACAATAAACTGAAGAGGCTTCTAACGCTATCCACCACCAGGTTAGATCGACTTGGTGGTGGATAGCTTTAGAATTCAGAATTCATCGACTGAATGTAAGCCACATCCCAATCAGTGGCGTAGTGTTCCCAACGAGACTCGAACAAGACACCTATTACTTCAAACGTCAGAATGGTACTCAACCACCGAAGTCATTTTCTGTACAACCGCCGATTGTTATACTGGATCCAATTATTCTACCTCTGTTGACACAAGACCACTACGAAACGTATGCCTCGGTGTCTTTTAATGGTATTCATGTTATTGTTGCCAGAAAACAAAATTAGAAGAGATAATACTTAGGAAACGAAGAAGAGAAATTAGCAATATTAAATCTAACAATCATATTCAATAGGAAAACGTACGTTTTCTTGATTGAATAAACCTTCCAGTCTTTTGATAATACTAACGAGTAAATCAGCTAGTGTTTTTTGATTGCCTACAATAAAAAAAAAGTGAAACCATGGAGAGAATTTTTGACAGCAGATGACAGACAAATCGAAATTACAGATCACAAGAAAAAACGATTGATAAATATTTTACGAAGTGATACACCTGTTAACTTCCCGATAACACTGATCTTGATAGTTGGAAATACTGAGGAAGGAAAGCCGGTTGGTGAGGTTGTGAACCTACAGAGGCTGGGGCGACTTGTACATGTGTTATAGATGACGAGGGACTACATTCCTCGGTATGTATTGCTAGCAGAAGTAGGATTAGGCTGGAAAAATGGCTCAAGGTGGCCATACTTAAATCTGGTATCAGTCCATGAAGCCTCTTACTGTTGGGTATGACGGATATGTGGAGAGATGTAGACTATCTGGTTGCAGTCCCCAAGACCACAGGAATCAGTGGTTGCAGACTTATGCTGACATGAGAGTCCGTCACAATGACCTAAGTGTATTCATTCTGATGCACTTGACTCTGTCTCTGGACCACTCTTACTTAATAAGCTTTATGTGGCATATATTGAGCACCGGATAACATACTGGTTGCATTCTTTCTGAAAGGAAACAGTACATTGCACACAAAAGAAACCATCCACTTCATTGCTTATTGAAGCTAGTTTACTTCAATGTACCTTCTCTTTATGTCTTTTTTTCTCTTTTTCTATGACTTGTTTCAATCTGATAAACCTAATTGTATATGCTGATAGTATGACAGTTTCTGTGCCAGTTGCCTCTTAACTGGATTTTCCCTTAAATGAATTACTTTCGTATTGAGAAATGACCAGTGATTTTTTCAAGTGATCTTAAGCTAGATCTTTCGAAATGTTGGATTGGTAATTATAGTTCTAGACATAAACAAAAATTGTGTGAGCATCTTCAATCTCATAACTTTCCGATTCATGATACTAAAATCGTTTATCTAATTCATGCAAGTAAACCCATGGGATTAACTTAAAGACAAAACTAACCGGAAGACATTCAACACTAAAATGGGACAAAACAAAGAGTAATATCAACCTACCTAAGGAGACTTTTTGATTCCGATGTATGCACTGGTCACACTGGTACACTAAAGATGTGCATAAGTGATCCATTTTTCTTGCATAGTGACGTAATTTCAATCGAGCATGATGAAGAGACTGACCAAAGTGTATGAAGAAAAATGGATGTGAATGATCATTGCATCATGAACAAGAAACAACACATACAAACACTTACTATTCTGATATATGTTGGATAAGCCAAAACACAAGAAGAGGATAACTTAATATCAGTAAATTATCTTAGAAACCTGTTATACAAGATTGAATCGGTTGGTGAAATGCAAGCCCTATCCCATAAAAAAAAATGAACATGAAGAAAGCATACTACACTAAACTATTAAATGGAGTTGCAAAAGGGCAAATGACTCTCACTCCTGAAACATCTTTGGCTAATATGTACAAGAAACTCTTTGTTCGAAGTTGAATTGACATCAACAAACTATTTACATCCAATTTTATAATTTAATTACAGTTAGGGAAGAAAGACAAAACAAATCGGTTGAAATTTTAAAGTACAGTCTGACAACCCACAGCTTAAAACATAGCATGCATAGCGGCCATCATCAAAACGGCTATCACGAAAACAACTAGATTTCCTATAGCAGCGCTTTCAGAAAGCCAAGAGTGGAATGGTTCCAATATCCCCTTCAAAATGTTTTCACCTAACCACGCGTTCAAAACCTTTGCCTAAAAAGTCGAACTCACTTCCTTCACGCTGAAAGGGTGCATCCATACAAGTTAGGAGGTAAAAGTGAACATCTGGAGCTACCAAAGGATTGGAAAACTAAGACAGTTTGCACAGGGGGGTGGCAACTCTCGATTATAAACCTGTGAGGTGCACCAGCTCAATGATCTAGAATACATGAACGACGTATGAACCTACCTTGGACACTGGGAACAACAGGAACGCAACATTTCACCGTATGTCGTTGTACAGTAGATTAAGCTTCAAGTCAACGGCTCGGGAAATGACTTCTGAATAGAACTACTTCCTTCTGTCTGAACACTCATGTAGTACCATAGTCAACAGACATATAATGAAAATATACTTGAATAGAAGACTGTAAATCATTTTACATCAAATCATAAGGATTACTTCTAGATATATGCAACACAATCTGCTCGTCATCATTTATGAATTAGTTTTTGTTCTTATCTTGCAGTGTTCTATCCTCCGACCTCGAGCTTACACTTCTATCCTTTTACACAGAAAGATTTGCGCTACTTACTAATAATCAGTAGTGTAAATCATTTTCTTAGCCGTTGCTATACCCAGTTTTGATTGTTAATTTCTGTCACTATTACATTTCATGTCACTTGCCATCTCAGGATACCAGTATCTTTCTCAGTTACTGGTTTCGTTGAGCTTCCTTCAGTTGTTCTCCGTTGCTCGATAGCAACTTCAACATTGGCATATCTCGTGTTCTTAACCTAATAATATAAATTAGCACATTTTAAAGATGTTCCTCTGCTTTGCGTTTGAAACACCTCTGTCATTCATACTGTTGACGCATTTCCTGTAAGGTGCTTTCAACGAAAATCGGAACATAAAATACTCCCGATTTGAGATTGATAATTCCTTGGTCATTATTGTTCATTGATAAAGAAACGTGCTTCAATTAAATCATGTTTTCGATTTGGTGAGAAACTCAGGTCTTCAGTTTATTCCGTAAAGATTCGCTTCCTTCTTATGGTCTCGAATTACTTGAAAACAAATTCATAGTCTATAGTTGTAATTGTATTTGGTAACGGAAATGACGCTACTTCGTTATACCTACTTATGTTCCGACTGACTGCAACCCAGATGCAGTAAAAGGTGAGTTCTACCATCAGTTGACTAACCTGTACCAGACCATGTACGGTCAACAGATATCGTAGTGTTAATCGACTTCTTGAATATATAAACCAATGATAAATGCACAAAGCAGGTTGCTTTAGGTGCTAAATGGGGATAGGTCAGTCTCAGTTCAGATGCTGGGAACATCTACAGCTTTGCGCACACCAAGACCTATTTTAGCCAGCACTAAATTCCAGCACAGCCGAGGAAAATGTTTCATAATGCAGTAATCGCTACCATAAAAAAGTCCTGTATTCCATAACCTGTTAACACCTTACGAGACGATACCCCCGAAAGGAATTGAACTGCCTAGAACAGCACAAAACACTTAACCAAATGACCCATCCTATAGGTGAAACATTTTTATTCGCATTCATTACCTTTTTACCTTCAGTTAGTTATCTGAACACTACTGAACATGTTGTTGCTAGATATGACAAAAGGGATGAGATTGATTTAATAAAATAGACTGTGATGGCAGTTTCGAGGTTTAGTGGTGACGAAGACAACATAGAGGCTGCACAAAATGCTCTCAATCAACTGATGACGACCACTACATAAGAATATATTACCTACTTAGCAGCAAAGAAATATGAAGTGCTTTTATAAGTTTGGTAGGACCTTAATATTTCTGTTGGATGAAGAGTTTCCAGGACGTCGAGAGTGACGATTTGAGAGTTTTTCGGATGGATTTCTTAACACTCAAATGTAAACGGTTGCTTTAGGTTTGGTCTGTACTGATATCTCATCTGGAAATAGAAAGCAAAAAGGCTGACAACGTTGAACACTTCACATACCTAGAAGGTCAGGTAAGCTCTGTTGGGTAAGTGACCGATGAAATCTGGGGAAGGAAACAAAAGGCACCACTGACTTTCGACAAATTTCACCACTTATTGCATCCATTAGATATACCATAGCCTATTTAGAGTTGAGTGCGCTGCACACTAGTTCCCTTAATCCTGCTTAAGAGATGAGAAAAATGACCATCAAAGGTGGAAGAAATGAAAAGGCTCTAGGTGTTCGACTATCTGCCTTCACAGTATTGATCTCGTGAGGTAGAAAAATCATACAAGTAATGCAGAGGTGAGGGCAATGCTTAAGTTAAAAGAGACAAGTCAATTGATGGAGTTATAAAAATCCACCGAGTAAGATGGTTCGGATATGTGAATGCTGAGTCACAGCCTCACTCGATGTGCGCTGAGTCGAAATATCGCTAGGCTGCAAGAAATCTAAGCCCATCAAGACCAAGATATGGCGAGAATTCATGAAGTCCAACTTTTGGTCTGTGCTGTGTAGAAAGGTGCAGGTTGTTCGATCGGGATCCTCAAGATATTAAAAGTTAGGGGTTAGGGAATCTGACGTTAAGACTAAAAAGTGAACACAAAATGTACACTCCCCATCATTTCCAAACTCTGAATATTTTCATTGCCTTTCACTAATTGATTTCCTCTTCTTTTGTACAACTTTATGGGCCTTATTATCATTGTTTTTTGACTCAGGTGTATTTACACGCAATAAGCAATGAACCACACCTTGTGCATCAAGACTAGTGATACTACTCGACTATCAAAAGCTTGGTAGATGGAAGCAAGTTACAGGTCCGTGAACCAATGACTTAAAGGCTACTGCCTAGGACTAATAAATCACAGCTCCACCAATAAGAAAAGAAATCATCGGTTGACTGAATTCGAAATTTCTGAAACAGGAAATAACTGACACTTTTTTAATTAACGAATCCAGATTTTTACACTTATTTAGTGACATTTCCACATGGAAAATAAACACAGAGCAGATTAGATATTCGAGCTAAGGAAACGCCACTTACTAAATATCGGTCTGTACTCAGCGGTAAACTGTATCTAAAGACTGGTAATATTACGAAGTGGCTTAAACCAGAGAACTCGAAGCAATATTGAACCAATGATACACGGTTCGACAGCCCAGTGTTAATATAACTGAGCAGTAATTATGAGTTATGAATAAGAGAAAATCCTAACTTGTGGCAAAATTTAGGGTAATCAGAATGAATAGATGGTTTGAAAACACAAAATTTACATCTTATTAACCAGCTCACCTCCATGTATGTTTTCATACCATCTGTAAGGCTTAGATGCATTTGAGTGCTTAAAACTGACTGGTCAACTAATCCGTTGTTAAAATTCAACAACTTGACATTACCATCAATCAATGACTGAGAACATGATATTGACGATGAATTCGCATGCTGTTCAAGATTGCTAAATGCATCTAATAAAGAGTCTTCGTGAGATAGATTCAAAGTGATCAGTTTCTTCAGGTGGATAGTTGTGTTGTGTAATTCGGGTAGTAACTTGTTCAACTGATGACAACGGCTGAGTTTTGTATTGTTCGGTTGTCATATTTTAAGGAAAAAAAGAGAAGGGAGATTAGAAACGAATCATAATAACTAGTCAACTAGTTGAGTTGCTAAAACAGAAAATGCTGTGACTTTAAAATTGTAGAATGCTACGGAATTATTGGATTAAGCCAAGACCAGCTACGTCTAATATGTATACTGTCCAGTGCACCATTAAAGTGGAAAGTACTTTTGAAAGAGTGGCAGAAGCCTGTGCCTGAGCTCATTCTCCATGGTGAGCCGTTGGAAGTAGTCGAAAATTTCGTGTATCTGGGTAGTTGTGTGAGTGCTGGTGGCGGCGGTGAAATTTCCAACCACATATCGAAAGCCAGAGTGGCATACGTCAATCTCGGCTATCTCTGACGTCATGGCGACGCTAGTCTGACCGTAATATGTCAGGTTTACAACGCTTCGGTGCAAGCAGTTCTGCTCTACGCCAGTGAAACCCGGCCTCTCCGAGCTAAAGATATGCGATGACTCTGTGTGTTTGATTATCATTGTCTCCGTAGGATTACTCGTCACCGGTGGCAACACCACGTCAGTAACTCTGAGGTACGATAGCGTGTGTTTGGGTATGATTGAGATAGTTATTTAACAAGTGAAGACATCTGGAAACACCGGCTTCGGTGGTTTGGACATGTGTAACGTATTTCATCCCAACGGCTTTCACGCCGTTCATTGTTTGCCAGCCCTGCGTCATGGATTAGATGGAAAAAGCGGAGGTGTGGTCAGTGTATGAAGTGGCACGGTAGGATGAAGGATAGTTGTGTCGGGTTAACTATCTGTTGGTTCATTACGACTCTCTGGGTGGGTTCAGAGAGATCACGCAACTCAGTGGCTTGAGAAGCTATCAGATATGACTCAACAAAAATCAATGGCGATTACGTTGTAGCTTCCTGCTATCTTCTGCTGCTGAAAAGTAATGAGTGTTTAGTTTGAAATGTACCTTAATGGACTACCCTTCTAATCATTCCACCCTTGTGTTTTAGTTTTATCCACTTCTTCTCGCTTTATGTCTTCATGTTATGTTTCTTTGTGTGGCACATTTCTTGATGTCCTTGCTGGAACCACGTTCGTGTAATGCTAGTGATAATAATAATCTCCATCATAGTGTAGATTATCAGAAGCTATTAACAGTTTCTCCACCACATATTTTTACTGAGGAATGCATATTGTACATCATCATTATGCCAATTAATGTGATTTCAGACAGATTAGATATTAGATAAGGGAATCAACGAACGTAGGATATCATATAAAAGTTCAGCCGTTGGCCATTGATCACAATAAGAGTGTGTAAGCTTGATTGAAAGTACTCAAACTGATAAACCTATAAGAGATTTCGATACTATGTTCGTATAACAGCTTGTACTCTACTTAGTTACAGATTATGAAGTAAAGTATCTAAAATACAGTGTTTCAATACAATGTGGTGCAAATGCAATTAACTTCTCTTCTCAAAAGTTGAAAAAAAGCTAAATACTAACCTGCAACCACCACTTTGAATTGGTGGAGTTGATTCAGCATTATTAACCAAAGATATTGGATCTTGAGTATTATCCAATGAAACTGAATCATACGATACAGTACAATCGGCCAACTGTTCTAGTAAATTCTCTGTAGAATCACTTGGTGTTACTGGACAGTGTAATAAAGAAGCTGATGTAGAACCAAGCTCTCTACTTATTTGGTTAACACCATGAAGGAAAGACTCTGTCTGACCTACGCAACCTCTATGTTGTTCAGGTTCTGATGATAATCTACTAAAATGTATATAAAGATATGTTAAAAGAGACAAGAGTAAGACCGTCATTTGATTATTATTTGAATAACTTAACAACAGTTTTCACTTCATATGAACTACTTGAAAAAGAATCGGCGGACTAAAGAACATAAAGCACAATCTAACTGCTAGCCTAGAACACACTTAACAGACTGCACCTTTGAATAAGTTTCAGGAGAGATCAAAGATTCTTAATTCTCACAATGGATAACGTTACCATTCAAACAAATGACTCACAATTCGCTGTTTGTCACTATCTAGTAACATTTTGCATTTTGAATGACTAAAGAATATAATTATCTATTTATTACCCACTTCAAAAGTTGTTGCCTAACGTTGCTGTTTACTTGTGAATGCTTACTAAATCCACAAATGACTAACTGAATAATTAATTAACACTGAGTACTTTCAACTGGTAATTATTTTCACAAGGTAATGACCCATATCTATTGTGTATGGGATAGAAATACTACCTGACTGCCAAGAATTGATCATAGCAAAAATGTCTTAAACTTGGTGGCACCAATAAGATTATAAGTATTTAAGAATACAATTCCATCCGGTAAAGATATGTGCACTAAGAGTTATGCATTATAGATGATGTGCATGGATTCACGATTGTACAGACCAATGTGAGTGAAGCAGTATATGAAATGCTAATTCATTGCTTGAAAGTTGAGTGCTTAAACCGCAGTCACTTTATGTACATGAAACCGAATAACACATGGTTTTACGCAATGTAGTTCAACTTTACCTGTTTACACAAATTGAAAACATATCCATAAGTCATAAATTTTTCGTCATATTTAGAGTATTAAGATTGTATCAGTGTTGATAATATAAATGAAATGAAATCCTATGGAAACTAATGAATATATATAAACCTGAAATTTTTATTTGTCATTTTTCTGCACTCCAATTGATAATTAATACATGTCAATAATAGTCCCCATATTAACTACAACTTAAGCTTTTTGGATTGGAGGATAGATTACATTTAAGCGCCAGTAAATGGTGTTCATTATCTTACAAAAGATTTTTTTTTAAACTATATAAAAATTTATAAAATCATACTATAGTACTGAAATACTACTTACCGAGCCGATGAGTCACTTGCATGAACACTTTCACCACTAGCTTTAGATTTCAAACGGGCAACATCAGCTTCCAAATCTCTGATTCTTTGATTTTTCGAAGCACCTTAAAGAATGATCAGATAAAGAAATATTGTGATCATATTTTTCCAGGATATCATCATCAACAAGATCAACATAGTACCAAGCATTACTGCGGTCCAAGTTGCCACACATCATATCAACATATCAAGTAGCAAGGCAGTAAAATGGAAGATAAAGGTATTAAAGTAAATAAACTTGAAATTTTGAAATGTGCTCAACAACTAGGTGCATATTCGTACAATAGGCAATAAGCCACCCTATTATATAAGGAAAAATGGTATTACATGGCTACCCAAACATCGGTAGGTGGGGCGGGGCTTAAACCCGTAACCCACTGGTTGGAAGTCATCTACCTAGATCAATCAATCACAGTTACGCAAGCAAATAAAACCGTATGTACCGTACTTGTGATACGTTCAGATATATATGTAAATGTAAATGAGGAAAAATTTAGGCTTTGTAGCAAACTCATTTCTTAAGTCACCACTATTCAGACTCTTACAAACAGACAGGTCTAAATAGACCAGGATAATTTATTTTCACAGCTTACACTTAGAGTTTTTATATTATTTCCTTAAAGTGTGTTCGAAGACAGATATTTATTCACTAAAAGGGTATAGTTTAAAAGAAAATTAAGATAACAACCAGTAAACTAAAACCCAAAAATTACACCTAAAAATAGTTAGTGCAGCAAACAGCAGAAAATCTTCCAGTAAACTCACCTTCTGGCGCAACTCCTTAACTTCTTCGAGAGTTTTACTTGCTCTTTCTTTATCTTGTTCAATTACACTACGAAGTCTATCGATTTCTTTCAATGCAGTTTCCAGCTTTCTGAAGAGAGAAAAAATATTTATGCCTCTCAGTAACAATCAATTAGTCTTTAGAGACATAAGACCAAAGCATCATTATGAAGCGATCCATGTTGTAACATAACACTACACATTACTAAATCAAGATTTAGGGCATCACAAAAGGATACAAATAATATTCTAATGAAGATTGGTGGAAACTTAAACAACAAAAAGAGAATGGTTTAAAGCGAATAACGAAGTGATATGATGGTCAAGATAAAAAAAATAACGCGTTGATGCATGTACACTATTATGACCAATTCAAAGCAGCGCAACGTGCAGCTAATTTCGGCTGTCTTGCGGACCTTAATCAGGAGTATTGCATTTCTACATACATCTAGACAGAGAAGCTTAATGTATTGTTGTTCTGCTTGATCTGGTGAATTTGAGTCATTTTTCAACCTAATTTACCAGGGTTAGGATCCAGTGTTGGCTTAGATAGTGGTTCGGTGTGCGTTAACCTTTTAGCACAATTTTACCTTTTCTAGAACAGAGGGATACAAAAACATAAAATTTGGCATAACCTTTCATTGGTTGGAACTACGACGCACGTTGAAAGGGAAAACTCTGGATGGGGGAGGTAAGGGAAAAATAAAAACAACTTCTTTCCTATTGCATTTCAGATTACTTCTGGTGCCTTTTAATTCCCACTTACCTAATTTGCTAAGTTGGCGTAAATTGTTTTTAATGTAGCAAACACAAACCACGACATTAGGTTCCCAATAATGGAAACGATTTTGGACATTCTTAATTAAGCATCTTTTAATTTCTGTTTATTTGAGACAGATAAAGAGATACGGATAACCCTTCCCACAGGTATTCAATAAAAATAATTTAGTAATCCCAACTGAAATTTTTGAAAGAATTCAATCTTATGCATCGACAATTCCACTCCTTCATGGTTTACCGAAGATCCCCAAAAAGGGGTTACCCATGTGTCTTATCTCGGATATGTTTGGTCCCGCCTATCATCCTGTGGCATGATGACTGACAAAAACTCTGTAACCAGTTAGAAGAATGGTAACAAAACACTCCTTCACATTTGATACAAGTTGATGACTGAAGGTGAAATGAAAATATGGACCGCGGCCGGATTCGAACCACTACGTATTATTACTAGTCTGCCAAACTACAGCTATCTCAGATAGTCAAAAGAATAACCTTCACATCTGTCAATACAGCAAAAGAGATAAACGTATCACAACATGCTGCTTGTTTACTTACTAATGTTCCTCTCACGGAAACGGCGCAAGTATATTGATTCCAATAGTTTGAATGTCAGTTTACCCAATAACGAATCCTAACGTGTATATTAAATGTCCAAATTTTGATAAATGGTGAAATATTCCGACAGAAAGATTGAGTAGCAATAAGGTCTTCACTTGGTCTTTAACTCGCCGACCATTTCACGGCCTATCCATCGATTATTTTTATGCCTAAAGTCAACACTGAATATAAACTTGTATTTCTGGATGATCAACTGTCACGTGAAAGTGATGGATCACTTCAGAGATTGATTTACCACCAACCTAAAGAAAAAGGGCAATTAATGAGCTTTGAGTTTTGTTCTCATCAGCAGAGAAGGGAATCTGATTACCTCTCCTACTGCAAGAATTTATTGAGTATGCATAGAAGATACATTGGATAAGGAATAGGGTTTCTTCAAAAACCGCTGGTTCAGAATGAATACTCAACCATATTTTTCGATAAGTATATACAAACATAAGCCTGATGCCCTATACAACTTAAGAGTACCATAAATAGCACCAGTGTATTGACCAGAAATTCAAGAGTAACATAGTGAGTCAAGTTCTACAGGCTCGCCTATCGAAAGCATTTGGAAGAAAATCCTTTGCTGCATTCCTGCATCTTATTTTCTTTACAAAACTAGTTTGTCAGAGTCAAAGATAAAATCGCGTTGCTGAAAACATCTACACCCACACATCTGTGTATAGATAATAATTGCTCTTGTGAAACTAAGTGCATAGGCCGTACCAGCAAGAAACTGTCAATACGTGCTCATTAACATTTGCCAGCGTGCTTAACGAAAACAGAATGCCGATAATAAACAGCTCTTTTTTGGAAAAGATTGTCTTGTCAGATTACCCAGCATTTGTAGACAACTCATTTCATGATATATAGAGTGAGACTCACTCAAAAGGATATCAATATCTTTGTACAACAGAAGCTCTGGCTATTTATGAAGAGAAACTTGAGTGCTGTGTAAATGAGCGTTTTGTTCACTCCCATTGGCTAACATGGGCTTAGTTTCAAAACTTGGTTATTGCTTAGTAATTTCCTACTCCCATCCCTTTCATAATATCCCGACGTCTTCTTGTGTACAATATTATCGTTGTCTCACCCTCTTAATAACAAGACAAGCACTTCTGAGCTCCATTCATTATTTTGTCTGCACATTTTCGTTATGCAGGATCGACTTATTGTCGCTTACAGTATACTGTTTTTATCTTCCGTTTCACAGTTCATTAGTTTTCCTTATTAACTGACATTAACCTTTGACCTTAGTTGGCACTGCTCATGATATCTTTAAACTGTTATATAACCGTGCAACCATGATGAGAAGAGTCTTCTTCGCTGATAAATGTCATTTTAATTCAAATCATACGAGCACCCTTCAAACGATATCGAATTTTTATTTAGTTAGATTACGCTGTCAATAAAATTTCTCATTCTGACGAGGATCTCTTTCTTAGATCAATAAAGGCATTTGAAAGTACTTTCATACTGACAATAAAATTGTTTATGCTTGTAAGCAGTTGACTAGAACGCAAAATATAGTGAATTCATATTCTATTCGGATCATGGTTACTACTACTGCTGTGGAAAATCGGTAAACCGAAATAAAATAAAAGGAATGAAGACAGATAAATATATAAATTGGCAAGATTTAGTTGAGTATAAAGCGAAGATTCATCGACACTATTGATACCGATTTTGAGAATTATCCCCCTAGAGCTTTACATCACTTTGCAACATGGGCCTGTTGCACAGTATACTGGTAGATATTTAAGCATCTTGTTAATTTTATGAACAGAAAATTTTGATGGAATCTCTATCCACTTAGACAATCCAGTTGATGTAAATTTGCCGGTAAGTGGAGTGATCGAAATATTCAATTCACCTTCCAATTGTCAAACGAGTTAACCGTCCATACGAATCTTAAGGCAACAACTTGAATTTAAGGTGCATGTTAACTAGTGGTGTGTACAATTCTAAATAGAAAGCTATTACAGTGGGTTTTATATGACATAAAAGAGGAAAGAAACAATTCAGAAAGATTAAAATAAACAACTAACGTTGGTTGGAGCTGATGGAATAGAATGCATTGCTATAAACCTTTCTGTTAATGATGGATCGTGGCCAGCAGTAGCAATATCGAGGTATCCGCACAGGAACCCGTATCTTAATAGAGACCGATCAATTCGGTCCAATCAACGACGGTATCATATGAAAACAACTACACTACAAACCTTTCTGTCCCTATTTGCTAGACGATCAAAATATATAAAAACACAGATGTTCTTCGTAATGTATGTGCAGTAATTGTCACGACTTTAACTTAAAGGATTGGACTTTGTTTCACATTCATTAAATAACAGACCGCGAAATCTTGAAAAAGGGGAACTCAATAGCTACATTTAGACTTGTACACTAGACTATGAGCCCCACAAGGTGGTAATGACATTAACAGGTTGCCATGACCTCGACAGGTGAAGAAGGATCCGAAGTCATGTTACACTATCTACACCAATGAATCAGAGTTTTAATCCAAAGCCAAGAAGACATACAGACAGAATCAACGTAGAACCTCACATACAAGTGCATCGATTAAAGTTGCCACATTTCACAGTCATCATCATCATCATTATCAACATAGGACCAGGCATTACTGCGTAACGGTCCGAGTTGCCACACCTCATATCAGCACATCAAGTAAAAAGGTAGTGAGGTGAAGGATGAAGATAAGTGAATGCAGTCAAAAGAAATATAAAGTACGAGAAGAAAGGAAAGAGGAGTGACAAAATAGTGAGATTCGGTATAGCGTTGTTAAGATGAGGATAATGTGTGTATACATCTGCGCCACTGACTTCGGTTCTGAGCCATATCACCTAGGGTCTCCAACCACTGGTTCCTCTTGTCCCGTGGACCCCAACCACCTAGTCTGCATCGTCCTACATGGCTTAAACCAACAGTCAGAGACTTCATACATTGGTGCCATGTTTTAGTCTGGCCACCTCGGGCCTTTTTCCAGCCTGAACCCACCTCAGCCAACATTGTGTGACGAGGCAATCGGTGACTAGGCATACGTAGTACGTGTCCCAACCATCTCAGTCGATGAAGGTTCACAACCTCGTCGACTGACTTACCTCTTCTCCCTAAAACTCTACACCTAACTTCTGCATTACTCACATGGTGACACCACGGAATACGTCCTATACTACGAAGGCAACGGTGGTCAAATACCTGTAACCTTCTCATGTCTTCCACTTTCAATGGCCATGTTTCACAGCCATACAGTAGAACAGAGCGGACTGCTGTGCAGTACACGCGACCCTTAATAGACAAACGAATATCACGGCGGCGCCATAGGTGGCGCAAATTGGCAAAAGCCAATCGAGCCTTTTGTATCCGTGCAGAAATCTCATCGGCAACTAACCCACCGGGTTGATCCTACTTCCCAGGTAAGTGAAGTGGTCAACACACTCAACCACTTCACTCTCTATTGTTAACCGCGGTACCGCTGAAGACCAGTCCTGGAGCAAAAATTTGCATTTGGGTGGTGAAAATCGCATCCCAAACATTCTCAAATTCCCACTCAAAGTGTTCAGAAGACTCTGCATCTTGTCAGCGTCTTCACCTAACAGGACTATGTCATCTGCATATTCTAGATCTAAGGAAAATTCACCTGTGATCCGGTCAACGTCTTTGTAATTAGGTGACGAGAGGGAAACCTCCATAAGAATATCTATGATAAAATTAAATAAGAATGGGGATAGTGGGCATCCTTGACGGACACCACTTGATGAGTATAGCTCCCTGGACAACTCACCATAGGCTCTAACATGCCCACAAGTGTTCGAGTAGAGAGCTTTCAATAAGGTGATGTACTTACTAGGCACGCCTTTCAGTGACAGACACTGCCATAAGACTTCTCGATCAACGGAGTCAAATGCCGCCTTCAGGTCGAGAAATACAGCTATTGTCGGGCGTCTGTAAGCATGCCTATGTTCCAGGACCTGGCGCAGTGTGAATATTTGGTCGATACATCCACGGCCAGGTCTAAAGCCTGCCTGGTTTTCTCGGGCTTGCTGTTCCCGAGCTCCACTCAGGCGTCGGAGAATTATAGAACTTAGGATCTTAGACACTATGTTTGTCAGGCTGATTCCTCTGTGGTTATCACAAGAGGACTTCTCGCCTTTCTTGAAGACTGGGATGATGAGTGACTTAGACCAGTCGGAGGGGATCGTATTTGATTCCCATATACTGGCTAACACTTCCGTTAGCCTGACTAAGAGAACTCTACCACCATTCTTGTATACCTCAGCAGGTAGTCCGTCTGGTCCTGCTGCCCTTCCCCGTTTCAGGCTACCTACCGCTTTCTCAACTTCTTCTAGTGTTGGGGGACCTGTCTCTATGTCCCATTCAGGGTCCGACTGGATAGCGGGCAGCGCAATGGTGGCTGGAGGCCAGTTAAACTGTTCCTCAAAGTGTTCTGCCCATCGTCCCAGTCGCCTTCCCTGCGAGTGAATCGCCGATCCGTCCTTCTCCGCTATAACCTCACTAACTGTTGTTGACCATTTCCCCCCAGTCTCCTTAATAAGTCTAAATAACTGTCTACTGTTACCGATCGCCGCTGCCTTTTCCATCTCTTTAGCCTTTGCTGCCCACCACTGTTCACGATCGTTGCGCAGACTTTTCGTCAGTTTATTTTTAAGTTGCGCTCGCTCTTCATTGTACTCAGAGCCTGCAGGGATGCATTCACGTGCATCCATTAGTTTGGAAGAAGCTGCTGATATCCACTGGCTCTTTTTAGCCATTATCTTGGAGTCGGCTACAGTCTCCAGTGCTGCTTTTACAGTAGACTGAAGATGGCACCAAGCTTCTTCTGGATGAGTGACAGTCTTTTGTTCCGATAACTGCCTAGCCAACTTCTCACTGAACACGGCTTTGGTGTTTTCGTTGTCCAGCAGAACTCGTAGTGGTTTTGTTGCCAAATTTTTTCTACGTCCATTGAGACGCAGGCATATACGTGCTCGGACCAACGCATGATCGCTGTCCAAACACGTACTCCAGAAGGAGCGGCAGTCTTCCACCGATCCTCTCCAGCGATGACTAATAGCAATGTGGTCTATCTGTGTCCATCGCTGAGTCGAGCTCGGTGGACGCCAGGTCAGACAGTGCCTTTCTTTATGTCTGAAATTTGTGCTGGCTAAAAATAGGCGGTTATCTGAGCATAGTTGTAATAGGCGATCACCGTTATCTGTACGTTCAGCTGGGATTCCGAAAGTGCCACCTAAGTGCCTTTCTGCCTCACTCAGTCTACCCACCTGTGCGTTGAGGTCACCTGCAACAACCACTACGTCCGAACGTTTGGCTTTCGAGAGGAGGTTAGACAGTTTATGGTAGAACTCGTCCTTCACTTCATCCGAACTACAGTCAGTGGGTGCGTAAGCAGAGATTACAAAGAGACAACGGCGAGTCTCACTATTCCTTTTAGTTCTCACTGTGCCGTTCAGCCTCATAGCGCAGAGGCGACTATCAACTGGGATCCAGTCTAGTAGTGAGTTTTCTGCCCTGGTGCTTAATGCTATACCTACACCTGCAAGACCACGAGAGCTAGCTATCGAATCTCCAGAAACTCGAAGGGTGAATTTTGCAGATTCACCAGATTGGTCAGGAGAGGTCAGGTGAATAACCACACTTGGGTCCTGTATGCGTGTCTCACAAACACAGCACACATCCATGCCTCGAGTTGCTAGAGTCTTTGCCAACGAAGCCTGTTGGCCAATTTGACGGAGGGTGCGGACATTGAAGGCTCCAATATGTAATTTGGAGCGTGGTTTAAGGAGACCAGGGACGCTGTTCTGTGGACTCAGATCGTTGTCGAAGGCTGCAGAGGTAGGAGAAATTGAAGATGATGCAGCATCATTAATTAAGAGACGTGAAGGAAGATTAGAAGGTAATGATGGAGGAGGAGGATAGCAGTCAGAAGAAACTTGGGTGCTGACAGAGTTGTGAGGGCGGTTGACACTTCCCGGCTGCCCACACCGTGGAAGGCTATTTCTTCTTAAGGTACCTGAAAGAGATTTGTGTGACCGCAGAGCCCATCGGACATCTGCTTGAGGCCTGTCACACCCAGCCTTTTGAGTATGATTATTTTGAATTTTTGTATTTTTGGGGCCGGATGAGCGAAAGGAAACGACAAGTGAACCAACACCGCCGGCCCGGCAGACCGTGGGGCGTGGTGGAGTGTGTTATTTTTGGGGCCGACCTTTTCTAACCCCCCCTTCCACTGAGAAGGCAGCATCAGCTTGGCACTGCTGGTCATCCAAGGGAAACACCTTACTGCTGTCACACCCCATCCAGCTAGCAGCAGTACGACTTCGCCCTCAGACCCCCATCATAGTGTAGCAATTTACACTATAACGGTAACTGCTTTTCGTCTAACCACTACCCAACAGACCTTTCTGGTATGGTAGGACCTCGAGGGAACAAGCGTTCCACCAGCATAGCTCGTTGGGTCATTGTGATATGCAAGCCCGACCACCACGTCAAGGTAGCAGCTATCGGTCGGTAGTAGTAGTAGTATACAAAGAACAACTGGATAGAAAAATGGTGATACCAAATTAGACAAAGTTGTATGAGAGAATAAACAATCTAAAGATAAGAATTAGTGCAAATATTCAAGCTTTAAATGACAAGGAGTAAATACATCTGCACCACTGCGACTGATTTTCAACCACGTCAGCATAAGTTCTTAACTACTGATTTCTATAGTCTCGGGAACCTCAACTACGTAGTCTACATCGCTCCATACGACTAAGTCAAAGAGGGACATAACTATACTTTGAAAGAAGTCAAATAACTCTTGAAATAAGACAAATAAAGATGATTAAGAATAGTTGATTAAGAAACGATATCTTCGTATGGAAAACGAGGCCGAATTCTGATTCTTTAGGTTATCTAACAACTACAAGCCACTTCAAACAACTCTCAGCATTTGAAAATGTAATGTACGATATTCGATGACACTCTCGCCAGTAAACGCCTTTAAAACAAAGTGATATCAACAGACAAACCTTAAGTAAGCGACAACCTAGACCTTATATCAACGCTTGTAACATTTTTTTTTACAAATACATCCGTTAATAATAAGATAGTTAAGCTATATTATATCTAAAAAGTTCAGAGTGATGTGAAACCTAAGGGAATAGTGCGGTGGTTCGAGTTGTCACACCACGCCACAGTAGATATTAAAATGATTCTAAACAAGAGAGTGGATAAATAAAACACATAAACGTATAGTAATATTGTGTTCGAGGTTAGAAGTTGAAGGATCATTTCACAACTGCGGTGCATTATCGTCTCTATTGTCTTGTATATTAAAGACTATTTCTAAAGCAATCATATCAACCGTAGTTGGCGCACCAACTGAAATCACCACCAAATATTGACCTAAGTTGGCGAATTGACAAAGTAAATGACCAACAAGCACATTCTATAGTGGAAAGCACGAAGCAGAATGTCACGTCAAACAAATTAAGCCAATGTTCTCAAATTCTATTGAGCATAGGCAGTATAACTTAGAAGATTTGCAAGAAATGAGTGGAGTGTAAATACAGAATGTCAAAATAATTCTTTAAGTACAGACTAGAATGTATTTGATTTCTCATTCAAATGTGAAGGCTTTAGGATGTAACTTAAGCATTTAATATCCAACTCCAAATCATTCTGTTATGATGCGCAAATCCATTACGGATAAACCGACCTAGACAAGGGGATGATAAGTAACCTCTCGAATTATACTACACATAACTAAGAACTACGGCGATTTGTATACATGTACTGAGTTGTATCATTTCTGTAGAATTGAAAACAATAATTGAAAGCCTAATGAACTAAGGATGAACACTATAATATGAGTGGAACGATTTTCACAGACATTCATTCAGTCTTTGTTTCATCCTCAAAAAATTATCAATAGTGATGAACAATGAAAATAACTTACTGAGTACGACTTATAAGCTTATTTCTGATCTCAAATGCTGTTGTTTTTAATTCATTGTATTTACGCAAACTTGTAGAAGATTCAATATGATCATTTAATGAAAGGCTTTGAGGCAATGTTTCTCGCTTATCTGTTGGCTGAGTTACTTTGATACAACAGTCATCTGGTTCATTATACTCCTTGGTGATAATTTCATCGCCAATTAACGATAAATTATCAGGTATATTGATGCATGATGTTTTTTCAATTGTTAGTTTCATACTTTTTGTTTCATGTCCTCCTACATTAGTTTCACATTGAACACTGGCAAACATGTTCAATTCTGAAGATTTCTTGTAATCATTCAAACGTGTGCACAATTCTTGAATATCATCCTTCAGGCTGCTTGACTGCTTTAGTAATATGTCTTCAATTAACTGTTTGATAAACTCACGCTCTTTTTCATATTCCACAGTTTTTTCACGGTTTATACACAATTCTTCTTCAGCTGCATTCAATTGTGAGACCATTAAATCATACTTTTCCATTGTTACACGCGTTTTGATTACATCAGTTAATTCATTCTGCAAATTTTTAACTTGATTCTGTGAGTTTTGTAATTCTTCACTGAGTGAATTAACAGTGGTTTGAAGATCTTCATACTTTTGAATAGATTGGTATAACGATTCTTGAACAGTGAAATATTTTCGCTCCAAAGCTTCAAAACTGTATTGTTTATCGTTAAAAGTGTTGATGAACCAATTGACATAGTCAGAAAGTGTACACAAACCCTGATTATTAGGAGCTAACGTTTTTATCATATCCAGCGAATGCATTTTATCAGACTTCAGTTGGTCAATGGTTGTCTTGTAGTCAGACAGATTGTTCTTCAGCATTTCGATGCACTCATCTAATGTTTCTGGAATAGAATAAGAATCACTGATGCCAAAAGAATGTTGAAGCACTGATTGCATTTCTGTAGTAAGTGAATTGAAGCGGGTCTCCTGATTATTATACATATCCACCACACCATCGACCAATGTTTTTAAGGATACAGATTCATTGAGTGATAATAAAGGTGCTAAACTACTGCATGCATAATGAACATCCATTTTATATTGATTAGTCTGATTAAGTATATCTTGAAGTTCTTCTTTTAGGGAATCGACTTCATTTTCTAAAGATTGGTAGTCATATAAGGAGACAGATTCATGTAAACATTTTTCAAGTTTATACATTTGGTCTTTTAAGTCATTGACTGACGTTCGAGATTCAGCAAGCTCTGAAACAGCAATATCAACCAGATCAATAACATTCATACATTCACTGCCAGAGTTAACCACAGACTGAAGACGCTCTACAACATTATGAATAAGCGCAGTATAACTGGACAATTCAGTATATAGGTCTAAATCCTCTTTAATTGAAGATTTTGAAAGCAAAGAATGCGGATGATCACATTCATTTGTTGGCTCAAAATTCTTTTCTTGACAATGTGCTAATATATATGTCAGTTTGTCCACTTGTTGATTATCAGATACGACACTTGGCAGTACAGCTATGGAACTGTCAGGATCCGTAGGGATAATCTCATGATTTGCTGTTTCTATTGTTGTGTTCATTTTCTGTAGTAAATCTGCATTAGCTTTCTAAAGGCATAAAAATAAACGAAAAGATAAAATAACCAGGATTTGAAGAGAATATCAATTTGGAAGTTAGTTGAAATTTACTAATCAATTTCAGGTTGGAATTCATCATAAATTTACATCAATAGAAGGAACATTAGAAATTTGGGAGCACTGGACAAGTGTTTTGAACTAGTATGGAAATCAACAGTGCACACCCAGAACCTTCAGGTTCCGCGGCCAACACGTTACTATTGAGCCATTGGGTTGGAATTCAAAAGTCCATATTTCCTACTTCTGTCAGTTCACGATATCACTTAAATGCAAAACTCCAAGAGAAAGGAGTAGTAGATAAATTCGAGGAAAAACGGATGCAATGTAATATATATCACAACAAATCTGTACATATCTGATAAGTATCTCTAATGTATGACTGCTTATTGAACTGAAACAAGTTAAGACACTGAACCATTGCGACTCCGTAAAATACTAACAGATCACAGGCTCAAAACCTATTCTACTTAAAGTGATTTCGGTAGTCAAACAGTATCACACACCTTGTATAGGGAGTATTATTATCTAGCACACGAAATTGCATATGGATGATGCTTTTTAAAATGTAAAAAGGCTAATATGGTGCATTAACAGGGGTATAGATAACTGTAAAAAAAAAAAGACTGCGCGGTAAAAAAAACATCCCATAATCTAAAAAATAATATTAGGAATAAATTCTTATCTATTTCGTAATAGTTAGCAGAACAAGCTACCTAAGCTGAAGATGAATTTAATGACTTTTATGGGGTTGATAAAGATTGTTTAAGAAAATAGCATGCCCTATTTATCAAACAAAGTAATGTTTTTCATGTACATTGTCATAACTTCTTCTTGTATGAAATGGAAATGCTGAGATCCATATCCAATGTTTGCCATGTTTAGTAAATGCCAAATGTTAATTCATCTGAATTCATTTGACACTATGATAAACCATGAATAAGTGTGTAAGAAGGCAGTATCAAGAAATAAATAAAAGTCGAGAACTTTTTCGTTTGACCAATAATGAAGACTATCAAAATCCATTAGCAGTAATAATCACATATCTTGAGTATGAAATAAATCGTTAACACGAGGAGAACGAATTTCATTGGTATTCTATGTACCAGAAGTTGAATAGGTGTTAAAGCATAGTTAAAATAACAGTTAGTTTGCGTTTCCCGAGTAAGGGTAACAGTGACAGAACACTACTAGTAACTTTCGGTCACAGCTTACTACCTTGATGTGGTAGTCGGGTTTGATAGTCGTAAGAATCCACCTGGATTATATTTCGTGGAAAGCCTTTCTTGACGGATTACCAACTCACACCAGTCATCATCATCATTATCAACATAGGACCAGGCATTACTGCATAACGGTCCGAGTTGCCACACCTCATATCAGCACATCAAGTAAAAAGTAGTGAGGTGAAGGATGAAGATAAGTGAATGCAGTCAAAAGAAATATAAAGTACGAGAAGAAAGGAAAGAGGAGTGACAAAATGGTGAGATTCGGTATAGCGTCGTTAAGATGAGGATAATGTGTGTATACATCTGCGCCACTGACTTCGGTTCTGAGCCATATCACCTAGGGTCTCCAACCACTGGTTCCTCTTGTCCCGTGGACCCCAACCACCTAGTCTGCATTGTCCTACATGGCTTAAACCAACAGTCAGAGACTTCATACATTGGTGCCATGTTTTAGTCTGGCCACCTCGAGTCTTTTTCCAGCCTGGACCCATCTCAGCCAACATTGTGTGACAAGGCAATCGGTGACTAGGCATACGTAGTACGTGTCCCAACCATCTCAGTCGATGAAGGTTCATAACCTCGTCAACTGATTTACCTCTTCTCCCCAAAACTCTACACCTAACTTCTGCATTACTCACATGGTGACACCACGGAATACGTCCTATACTACGAAGGCAACGGTGGTCAAACACCTGAAGCCTTTTTGTATCCTCCACTTTCAATGGTCATGTTTCACAGCCATAAAATAGAACAGAGCGGACTGCTGTGCAGTACACGCGACCTTTAATAGACAAACGGATATCGCGGCGGCGCCATAGGCGGTGCAAAATTGGTTCACTTGTCGTTTCCTTTCACACCAGTCAACTACAGAACAATGAGACTAGATCAGATAACTTCAATGCCTTGATTTAAGGACTGAAATGAAGTTAAATGTGATTCGAGAGCGAAGTCGTAGTACTGGTTGTAACAAAATATGACATCAGTAAAGCGTTTGATAAGGATAAGTAGAAGGAAGTATCAAAAAACGGTCGATCTTAAAATAGTACACTCTTCTCCTACCCAAATGATTCTCAGTGTGGGCAGTTCGGTTTTTTTAAAGTATGAAACCAACAAAATTAAATTTGAATCAAGAACTATTAGAGATTGTGTATATAACCGTCCAGAACAATACAATGGTTATTTTAGGTGCTTCAGAAAGTATCCTATCGCGATACAGGTAACCAAGAAGTGTTAAAAGTTCTCAAACCTCTGTAAGTACTCATGTTTGTCATGCTAATGACAGTTGAATTCCGTACACTGACCATCTCATAGGTGAAGTTGTATATAGCTGACGAACAGTATCACATAACGTAGCGCTAGCAACAAGAGAGAAGACCCATATGAGCGTTAAACCGTATAGATGCCGGTGAAATTGTAGAGTGGAAATGCTTTGCGATGCAGTTAATTTCAATGATACTTTGTTCACAGATATAATGTAAAGAGATACAGATGATCAAGTTATTATTATTATTATTAGTCCCTTGGGTTCCTAGTGGAACATAGGGCTTCAGTAGCACGTCTCCATTTCATCCCGTTCTCTGAGATCTTTTGAACCTGGTTCCACGACAGCCCAGAAGCTCTCATTTCCTCCTCGCACGACCTCCTCTATGTCACCCTCGGACGTCCAACCCGTTGCTTCCCATGGGGATTCCACTCGAGGGCCTGACGCGTGATGTCCTCAGTCGGCCTTCTCAGTGCATGGCCAATCCATCTCCACTTCTTCCTGCATATTTGTTGGGTGATAGGTTCTTGGTTGGTTCGTTCCCAGAGCTCCTTGTTGCTTATTCCTTCTGGCCATCTGATCTTCAGTAGCGAGCGTAAGCAGTTGTTGATGAATGTCTGTAGTTTATTGGAAATGCCTTTCGTAACGCACCAAGTCTCTGAGCCATACAAGAGCACTGACTTGACGTTGGTGTTGAAAAACCGTATCTTGTTTCACATGCTGAGTGCAGAAGATCTCCACACTGGTTTCAGGCTAATGAACGCCTGTCTTGCTTTTCCGATTCTGACTTTGACATCCTCGTCTGTGCCGCCACCTGTAGTTGAAACAGTGCTGCCTAGATAGGTGAAGGAGGTTACTTCCTTTAAGTTTCTCCCGTTGATGGTGATTGGAGTTTGTTGTTTTTGTTGTTGTTGGTGCGGTATCTTCATCACCTCTGTCTTCTCTATATTCACCTGAAGTCCCGTCTCCTCTCGCTGCCTCTTCTGCCAACTTGTTAGTTTTTGCCTGTAGATCTTCAAATTTATGTGACATCAGGCACAAGTCATCAGTGGCGAAATCCAGATCTTCTAGGTTCTTTTCCGTAGTCCAGCCAGCGTATCCCCCTCTTCTCGCTCCCCACTGTCTGCTGCATGATCCAGTCGACCACAATCAGGAAAATCATCAGTGATAGTAGGCAACCTTGTTTCACTCCTGTCTTCACTTCAAAAGCATCACTGAGCTTCCCATTGTGAATTACTTGGCATGTGGCATCTTCATATAGTTGTTGAATGAGGCTGATAAAGGTTTGCGGTACTCCGTAGTAATGAAGCAGTTTCCAAATTACTTCTCGGTCGACGCTGTCAAAGGCCTTCTCAAAGTCGATGAAGTTGAGGTAGAGAGCTGATTGCCATTCTATGCTCTGTTCTATGATGATGCGAAGCGTTGCAATTTGGTCTGCACATGATTTGTACTTCCTGAAGCCAAGTTACTGCAATAAAAATAATAGTTGTCAGTGACTAATAGCAAGTTCAACTGTATACGGATAAAAGCAAGCAAGTTCAACTCGGTAAGCATACAGATTTGTGCATAGACAAATAAAAAGGTAAAAGTAAACCCCGGCATAGAGGTGCACCAATTCAAATTTACAAACTGCACAGTAGATTGCACTAGACAGAGAATAACAGGATAACGAATGAAAGTGTGGGAAAGGACTGAGAGCGAATGAGCGAAGATAGATGAAAACATTCAATACGTGTAAGATAACAAGGAGTGTATACAAATGAGTCATTTTAACTAAATTTGATCATAACAGCAAAAGTTTCCAAACACTGATTCCTAACATGTCGAAGAACCCTAACAGTCAGCCTATGTCTTCTTACACAACTCACATCAATGGTCAGACTTGTTAAAGAGGTATCATCTTGTTCTGACAACCCTAAGCTTTTTTCCTATTTCGGGTAACCCTGAAGATCGAAATAAGCGGTGGCTCGACATGTGCAACTCATATACAATACACCTCAGTCGCTGATGGCTCACAACCTTATAGACTGGCTTACACTCTATCCCTAGTAATGTACACCTAAACTCGACATCTCTGCACAATGATCCCATTATACGCGAGCACAGTTATGAAGATACCTGTGGTCAAAGAAAAGTAACCTCTCTATATCTACTACTAACGATCATGTCTCATTGCCGTATGAAAGGATAGGGTAGATTGTAGACCAGAATACCTAGTCCTGTGAGGGACAGTTGGGTATCCTACCTGTGCCTTAAGTTGACAAATGTTGAACGGGAGTTATGCATCTAACTTGAGGGTTCGGCAGCAACCAATACCTTCGAGTTGATGCTTAAGCAAGTCGATCCACACATTCGACCACTTGACCCCCACCCCATATCCTTAATCTAGGGGGTTGTTGCAGACTAATCTTGAAGCATAATTCACGTAAAGACTACATGTCATACATGTTCTGTGAAGTCTAATTCTATCACCTGATTGTTCTAGCCTCAGTAAACGGAGATACGTTCGAATTTGATACTTGGCGGTTGAAAGTTAAGTCTTGTGAAAGTTAAACAGTTACTCCAGGTGAAGTTTACATTCAACACACAGGTGACATAAAAAAGAAATACACAAACACTTTGTTATCGAAAATCTAAAAATAAAGAACAAGCACCCACCTTCAGATTAGAATTTTCCGCCTCCAATGTGATTACTTTGTCATTTAAATCTTTCAGTTCGCATGTTAGCCTTTCATAATCATCACCACTCGTGATTTGATGAACGGATTCCTTAAGAAGTTGATTTGATTCTAGGAAGGATTGACTGCCTTGTATGTCAGACATGATGAGGTTTTTATCATTACATTTCGTAGATAGCCTCCTTATAAAAATTTTAAAAAGATCGTGATTATAAACTAACGTCATGAAGTGTTCATGCAGTTGATACAATAATAAGTTTGTAGGCTGAAGTAAGTGTGAAGGATTTATTTTGTATTCTGCTTGGTGGCTAGCAATGTGATCCAGGATGGACTAGATGTACCCGCACCCCAGTGAGTGACATTCCCAACGAGACCCGAACACAGTACCCATCGCATAAAACGCCAGAGAGTTACTCACTAGGCCATTATGGCACGACAATCACCTATTGTGCAACGGGCATCAGTTTTTGCTTATTGATGCCTGTAATTTCCCGTAACCATACTGGGTCACATTGCTCGACCTCAAGTGAAGACCACTGTGAAATATTCATTTTCTTATGTCATTAGTTTTACGTCCACAACCTGTAGTTATTTTCAACCGTGACGTAATACTTAACATTTGTTATTCTCTATTGCGTTATGGTATTCACATGATTTTCATCCCACCTGAATATATCTCATCACTACGCAATTATTTGTTGACCCTTAGTAAAAAAACACACATGCATGCTCACATTCACGCCCCAATAAATATAAATCTGTAGATTTTGTCTCCTCATTTAGTAATTGTTCTATCAATATTGATTTCATTGCACAACTAACACACTAGACTGATAACAGTTCCACTATTCCACTAGATTTGATCTCCACTCCCCCACAACACTGACTGCTTCAATGTAGTAGAAATTGTACATCATGCCTTATTTCGGCTATTGTATTTCACTGATTCTCATTCATTTATAACTGTAGAGCTTGAAGAAGTTATTGAAAACAATTGTTCGCTCAAATTACTCTTGTTCTGAATAATCCATGGGGATCTTCAAATTATTAAAAATATTTTACTACGACCCCATAGACTGCCAGTATACTGAGACTGAAATTAACGATGTCTTGTAATCGTGTTGAAACGAATACAAACAGGCAAGGAATGATCAGATACTGAATAGACACCCGAGTTTCATAAACCTGCTGCTCTAAAAATACTGCATGAGATGAAAGAGTTACCCTGTCTTACTCAATCCCACGATGTAACGAAGACAGAATGGACCGACTTTCAACAACTCATCATAGTAAAGCATGATTCAATATCAAAAGAAATACCGTGACCACTGACATTAACTATATTCAGTATTATCGGATGACAATTTGTAGTTGAAATATAAATTGACCGTGATACTACTTAAACTACTGTATACTGGGTGAAATATCCCATGAAAATTTTCTACGAGCAAACAATAAAAGTGTAAAACACTGAACACTTACATAGGATGACGCCAAGCCGACCCATATAACTGGCTTAAACTAGCCTCATCATTTTGACTAACAAAACCGATTGGATCAAACGGTGGTAAGACACCACCATCAAAGCGAGCACTGCAGTTCACCGATTTCGAGTCAACGTTTCCAGTCTCCTTTGCATCCAGAGCCACAGAGTCAACATCTTCTACTGAGTCATTTAACAGGTTTGCGCATGAATGAGCCGAATCCACTTGACTGGTCAGTAGGACAGATATATGCTTTTTCACATCTAAATCCCAAAATTCAGAACCTATTTCTGAGCATTCTTCAATAGCATCTCGCAGTCTTGACATCTAGATAGAAGTTTATACAAACACGTATGGAAGTAAGGATGTGAAATAGTTCACTAAAAACATAAAACTACCAACAAAATGGGATTAATCCTCGTGACAGTTGTGGAGAAAATGACTGAACAGAAACATATATTTTAGAGCGTTCATTGTAGCTGGAACTACGAGATTAATAATAATGATAACAGTAATAATCAATAATAATAATAACAATAACTAAATAATAATAGTCTTAGTCTCCCAATGTACCGTAATTTATGAGAACCTGGTCGTTGAACTACTTGAAGATGGACAGCATTATCTTGAGACCCCGTATTACTGTGTGCATCGGTCTAAGGTGTCACACCTCACAATAGCACAGAAACCAGTGACTTTGGATATGGAAAACTTCCCAGGTTTACAACATCATTAACTGACTTACTACAAGTTCAGCAAACTTTACCAATGTTAGTTCAGTTATTTCAAATAGAGTTAAGAAAATACAGTACCATATGACATTGAATCTACCACCTCATTAAATACTATTCGAAATGAAATGCACTAAGCAATCTTCTGCAAATTCGTGCTGTAGGCAATAAGCCACACCCACTGTATTAGTGCTAGTTGCCCGAACCTCGATAGGTGGAGTAGGATTCAAACCCGTGGCCCAGTCGTTGAAAGCCATCTCTACTTAAACCAATGAGCCACAGCTTTCCACTAAAAATTATAAATTAGAAGGAAACCGTGAAAAATAAAAAGAAAAATTTGCTTACCGCCAGTGATAGACGTTCAAATATATCCTTATGTTCCCACTCGACCATAGTTAAATCCCCGATATTAGTTGGTTTCTTTGTTAATCTGTCAGAGGTGATATCATGAACATCCTCCGTAAGACTATGATACAACAAGTCTGGTTGTTTTATGTTTTGCATAGAATCTCTGAGATCCTCACACATTGAAGCTGAACCGACAAGATTTTTCATTTGATCTTTAAATTTTGGTGCACTGAACAATTTTCTATGCAAACTGACATTCTTTCCCATAGATTTTTGAACTGTTGGATACCTAATAGGAAACAGTTTAGAAATATGAGAATTCCCATTTCTTGCACTAGTGCATCTCAAATTTGCTCTGACAGGAGACTTTGGACAGCCAAAGAGCAATGCAGCAACAGTTTCATTTAGCTCCGACGAGACAATAGATTCTTTAAGCTGATGTTCACAATAACTAGATGCTATAGGCGGATTAATAGTGCTACTGATGTTCATATTCTCGAATAACGTATTATAACCGCCAAATGTAGCGTCTGTCCGAGATAAAATAAATCGATTTGGATTTGAAGAAAGGTGATCCAAATCACCAAAAACTGAAACAGCTTTACGTAATGGATGAGCCTGAAAGGAGGACTCAATTTCCATGGTCGCTAAACTACGATTGACCATCTCAACAACTGAGTTCTAGAGAGACAGAAATAGAACACAGACAACACAGATGAATAAATACAGAATCTTAGTAAACTGACAAATATGGAAATCAAAATCTTGTTTTAATTTGTCAAGGAATTATTTATTCATAGAAAAGAAAACTATAGGCTCCAATGAAAATTTATTCTTCTAACTGGAAAAAAGTGTGGCGCAGCAGGTGAGTTTCCCTGTTTATTAAATATATATCTTAAATGGAAAGTTTGAATTGTGAACAAATTAGCCAAAAGTAGTAACCGATGAAGTCCTCCGTACTGATCAAGTTTGAAGTATGCTGTACTTTTAAAATATAGTATCTAGCTTCTTCTCTAATAGGCAAGTAGTATTCAGAACTTTTTAATCACATGGAAAATACTCGTAACAACATCAAAGAAAATGGACAGTCTAAAGGCATTCTTCCAGCTGTACAAGTGGCATATCATACACATCATATAAATCTATAACATAATGATAACTTTTCTCGTCAACATGCTAACAGTCTTACAGTTAGATGAGTTACATGAATGGTTTTTAACATTATATAAAAAATCAGAAATACTATCAAGTGAAAACATAGAAACTACAAAAAGTAAAAGGTTTAGATATAAAGTTGCATAATGCGACAACGAATTTTCCTCACGGAATACGAAAGCATAAAAATAGAATGTTGACTGACAATAAAACCAATCACTTTCTGTTTTAGCGAGCATATGAGTAGATAAGGCAGGCGGATTTCATTCACGGACGATAGTTTGATGCGATATTAATTGGCAGCTTAGGTATCAAGTCACTAGCAAATACGCTCATTAGTTCAGCAGACGTTTCTTTTTAATGGTGTCAAATATTCACAAAAAAAAAGAGAAATTGATGCCACACTGAAAAAGTTCAGAACAATCTTGTCTTGACTTTTTACGTCGCCTGGAATTATATGAGGATATATTCTAGGAATTATCCGGCAAAAATTTAACTTTCTTTTCCCGACAACTCTTTTTCCGCCTCACAAACAACGTTCGGTTTCACAGCTTTAAAAAATAAAGCCTTTTCATTACCTGTCCTAGGGTATTTTCATTGTCAATAGATCAACGAGCTATACTGCTATGGGCATAATGTTTCTCTGAAGGAGGAAAACTTCTTGGATTCTGTGTTGTCTTCTCCGCTTGGTCAGTTGAGCGAGTTTTAGGAAATAGTATTCCCTGAAAACTCGTGACTGCTCAGACGAACATACTACGTGTGCATGAGTTAAATCTCAATGAGATAAGAGACGTTATTGCATTTTTAACCATATTCTCACCGGTTATTCCTATTCTATTCTACAACCATACCTACTATCATTCCTTTCTTCATCAGACTTATTTTACGCTACAGCGACAATGCTACAACAAATGAGCTGCATCTATCGAAATAGGCTTAGTACAATCAAAAGGTCAGTATATTGGGTACCGTCGATTACACCATGACTTCTGTTGTATTGTACGACTGACCTATCTATTGACAAAGTCACAATATACCCTTGAAGAAAAATCAATAGGCTATAGTTGCTTCACTTCAAAGTAGTATACAAAGAACAACTGGACAGAAGTGATATCAAAGAAGACAAAGTTGTGTGAGAGAATAAACAATCTGAGGATAAAGGTAAGTTTGAATATTCAAACTATAGAAGAAATCAAAAAGTGAATAAATCACCAAGAATCCTCAACCACCGATTCCTTTCGTCTTGATAGTTTACATCGCCCCACATGACTCAAACCGACAGCAAGAGACTTCACCAACTCATTCCATGTCATGGTCTGGCCAACTTGGACTCTCTTTCAACTTAATCCAACTTCCACTAGCATGCCACATCGAAGCGGGTAGTCGATCGGCATGCGCAGTACATCCCCCCAAGTCAACCATCTCAGTTCACTCGATGAACATTCACAACTTCATCAATCGACTTACCAGCTTGCCTTGCCTAGTACCCTTCCGCTGACCTCAACACTGCTCACACAATGATCACACCAAACGTGAACAATGCTACGGAGACACCTGCGACCATACCCTGTTATCGCTTCTTGTCTATTACTTTCAACGGCCATTTTGCACGACCGTACAATAGGACAGAACGGACTGAAGCGCAGTGTACTTTTCCTTTGATAGATAATCGGATATCTCGACAGTCAGCGCGTTATGTGACGCAAGTTGGGAGCAAGTGACAAACGGGCCTTCTCCATCCGAGCTGAGATTTCGTCGGGTTGATGATGATACACTTGACATACGCCAGCGAGACACATGCAAACATACTCAAATATTTTCTCAACATGTTCAGAATACCCTGTATTTTGTCAACGTCTTCGCCTAGCAAGACAACATTGTCTGCATACTCAAGGTCAAAGAGATGTTATGCACGGATGAGGTGAATCCCTGCGAGGTCAGGCGTTCGTAAGGTTATGTCTATTGTTTCGTCTATCTCGAAATTAAAAGGGAACGGTGAAAGTGGACATCCCTGACCAGCGCCACCAGCTGTCATCATTTCACTCGACAACTCTCCTTTAAGCTTAACACGGGTGCGTGAATATATATATATATATATATATATATATATATATATATATATATATATATATATATATATATACCTCTAAAGAGAGGTTTCATTAACGTCACATACTTTATCAGCATTTAACTCACATTCAGGCACTCACTCCTACGACACTTCAAGATGCCGCCTCCTGGTAAAAAAAACACATGGCAAATATGGTTGCTGCCGGGTAGGTATGTCTGAGTTCCAGAACCTGTCGGAGGGTAAAATTATCGATGCATTGTCGTCCAGCTCTGTTTGGATTTCGCCTGGTTTTCTTGAATTTGACATTCTCGAGCACGACGTAGGCATCGGGTAACTATGGACCCCAGGATGTTGGATACACTATTCAGATTTTCAGAAGAAGATTTCTCTACTCTATTAGACTGAGATGATCAGTGAAGTAGATCAGTCTGATGGCACTACCTCTGATTCCCACGCACTACGTAATACCTCTGTTACTTTATGTTTAGAGATTTCCAACCTCTATCCTTGGGAACGGGTGACAAACTGTTAGATCCTGTTGTTTTACACCGTTTCAGATTCGATACAGCTTTTTCAACTCCAAGGAGAGTTGAAGGACTGACGTATACATCTTATTCAGGCTTAGGCTGGGTATTGATTAACTGATGGGTTGCTGAGGGACAGTTGAACTGTGTTTCAAAGTGTTATGCCCAACGTTCTGAGAGGTTACCAGAGTTTCAGCATTTTCGGTGTTGGTTTCACTATCGTTCGCTTCTTGTCAGTGTTCTTAATAAGCTCAACGCTGACACTTTCTCCATGTATCTCACTCACTCACTCTCGCTCTCCACCCACCACTGTTCGGGATCGATGTGAAGATGCTAAGTGAACATACTTTTGAGTTGCTTTCGCTCTTCATCGTGGTCAGAGCCAGGCAGCTGGAATTAGTCTTCGCATCAATGAATTCGTCTGGGTCTCAGAAGTTTAATGATGTTTACTAGTTTTCGAGTTTAGGTTACCACCAGTTGTCTTTACCGCAGTTTCTACAGCCGACTGAATATCACTCCAGGTTTCATCAGGATGAGCACTGCTGTCACGTTCAGATAAATGCTTAGCTGACTCCCCTCTAAATGCGTTCTTGGTGTCTTCATCTACCAATTGAGCACATATAAGCCTCACTGTCTACTGTTTTCGGCGGCCAGTTTGGCTATAAGCACAATAATTCATGGTAAAATAGACGTTTATCTAGCGTAACGTTGCATCACGAAAGCGAATCAAACATGTTTACTATTTATAGTGGAAATTTGGAATTTTGCACTACGTTGGTGCCTCCAGTGGTGAAAAGAAGTATGACTGAAAACGATCCAAACTTCAACACTCTGTACATGTTGGAAAGTGGTATTTTCTTGTTCATTTCATAACTTGTGAAATATTCCGATGCTTTTAATCTAATTTAATGACCTCTCTTCTGTATCATTCAGCTCCCGTAAAATCTTGTAGATTTTTCAATATATATCAATGTAATGGTGCCTATAAACTGGCTTCTCTCATGTTAAGTTACTAATATGCGAATAAAATATTTAATCATGAATTATTTGCAAGCTCATACTAGCGCATGCTTGGAGTTCAAACCCCACCTATCCCCCCCCCTAGCTGTGACTCATAGCAGTGTGATCTATTTGTGTCCATCGTTGGTTTGAAATCAGTGGACGTGATGTGAGACAGTGTCTCTCCTTATGCCTAGAGTCAGCGCTAGCCAGAAACAAGTGATTGTCGGAACAACATTGCAACGGACGATCACCGTTGTCGGTTCGTTGGCATACGATTCCGTAAATGTCCCCAAGATGCTTGCCTTTTCGATTAACTCAACCTCCCTACTTGAGCCTTAAAGTCACCTGACGATATGACTACATCTGAACGTTTTGCTTTATGTAGCAAAGTTGACAGCTTCTCATCGAATTCATCCTTTGCATCATCCGAACTGCAGTCGATGGATGCGTAGGTGGAGATTAAGAATAAACATCGCCTAGTCTCACGATCCTTTGTAGTTCTTACAGATCTATTTAGTCGAAGAGTACATAGATGGTTGTTGACTGGTATCTAGTCGAGAAACGCACTTCCTGCTCTACAAATCAGTGGAATGCCTCCAGCAGCGAGTCCACGACAGCTAGTCATTGAGGCCCCGGATACTCATAAGATGAATTTTGAAGATTCACTACTATGGCTAATTGAGGCCAGTTTGATAACCATATTCAGGATCTGTGTGTCTCAGAGACACAGAATAAATCCACGATTTGAGATTTCAGAGTTCAGACTAGCGATGCTTGCTGTTCGATTTAGCATAGATCTCGAAAGTGGAAATTGTTGGCGAGTGGGGTATTAAGAGAGTAGGAATGAGGTTCCGATGGTGTTAACCACTGCCAATGGTTTGAGAGTAAGAGGATTGGGTAAGGCCTAAGAGGTTTAATATTAGTATCAGGAGGTGAAGGCAAAGAAGACAGAGATGAGGGGATTGGTTTTGTTTGATCGGGTCTTGCGTACTACTGGAAGCGTGCTGGCGGTTATCACTTCCCGGATGCCCATACCATGAAAGGATATTTTCATCTTAAGGTACCTGAAAGAGAAAACAAGTTGTGTGACCCCAAAGCCTTTCGGACATCTGCTTGAGGCCTGTTGCACAGCCTTTTGTAAATTATTGTTTTGATGACGAACAGAGAGGACCCATACTGCCGGTACCTGAAGACAGTGTGGCGGTGAGGTCAACCTTTTATAACCCACCCCGCTCTTCCCAGTGGGAAAGCAACATCAGCATGGCACTGTTGGTCATCCAAGGTAAACACCTTACTGCTGTCACACCCCACCTAGATAGCAGCAGAACAATTGCAACCTCAGACCCACATCATAGTGTAGTAATTTACATTACAATGGTAACTGCTTTTCGTCTCACCACTAACCAACAGACTTATCTGGGATAGTTGAACCTTGAGGAAACAAGAGCCCCACTAGCATAACTCTGTGGGTCATTGTGATAGGCAAGCCCGACTATCAAATCAAGGTAGCAGCTATCAATATTATAGCGTGGCTTGATAAAGTGATATGTGCTAAAGAGAATGAAATCACCTTGTAATTTATTGGACTCAATTTACGACTTTTGTAATCCCGAATAATGATCAAGATGACTGACACATTTATCGTACTACAAATTGTATCGTTTGATCAAATAAAAATGTTGCATATAAGCAATGAATGAAGCTCGAAATAACATGGATAAGAATTACATCCCAAGAAACGTACAGGCGAAGGTCATAAGATAGACAATAACTTCCAACCAGTTTATGTAGGGCTGCCTTACTGTCTACCATATCAGAACTGAAGACCCAGTGGTTAATGGTTTAACAAATATATCAACAAAGTGAAGCTCTACGTTCTTTGTGCTTTATGCAACTAATCAGAAAGGACTACCCGTCTTTGGATTGGTGAGATAAATCCATGAGTACCATTTCCATTATGAAGGCATTGTTAAGGATGGATATATCCCCTAATCTTTAAACTTACTATTTGTACAATCTGAACCATTTTGGCTTCCGCTCTTTTTTCCGTAAGTGGGTTACAACATTTCATATAACCCTCTAGTACTCAGATTGGCTCCTGTCTCTTTTAATGTACTAATTATCTCTTGTCTTTCAATATCATTGTAACTTCTATATATGATGAGTGTTTTTTATTAAAAGAGGTCTTCGGTTCGAGATACTATAAACTCAATTGAAAACATCTTTTGATTTCACTCTGTTGATCTTTCGGATTAAATTGTTTCAAGCCTCGGACTCCTAATCGATAATTATTCTCGTTTCGTTCTCGCAACTCCATTTGGCAACAGATATGGTGATCTACACAGAATTTACTCGGCAGAGAAATACATGTGAGTGTGCTAAGAAAATGATTTGCTCTACAAACACAGGTAGGAATTGTTGATTACTAAATAACGGACAGGTGAACATAGTCGAGTAATATTTTACAAATAAATATATAAGCATTCAGCACTTCTTATATGTTGTTTTCAGTAGACGTAAAGTTAGACAATATTTTGAACGTACTTGAGTAAATCGAACATCATTCAACTTAAGCATCAAATCATGTATCAAGTCATAAAGGTTCCGTAAGCGACGAATAGAATGGGTTTCCTTTTGACTGTTGGTCACAGAATTTGTATAAGGTGTACAGGCAGTATTGGATTCATCGTTTTCTTTGTTATCATTGGCTATATCAACAGAATTCTGGAGATTTGGAATTTTCACCTTGAGGATTAATTAGTAAAACAGATATGGCATTAATAACGAATTGCTTACAAAGGATAATACAGTGACTCTAAAGGTCAGCTGAGCAACAACTCAAGTGACCAATCAGATTTCTCCATTTCCCGAAAATTTCCTTTCCAAGCCAGGATGGAGAAACCTGACTGGTTATTTCGATCGTTAATAGAGTGGTCGCCCGGATAATAAGTATTTAGTCTGCTAAGGTATGTGTATAATTTTATCAACAGATTTTTACAATTCAGCTTCACATCGACTAAAGGAAAAAATAAAGTCCCTATCATAATGTTTCCAAACTTATATAATAAAATGTTAGATGATTTCAAAGCCTCTACAAAGCAGTAAATAAGTTCAGACATATAATGATGCTAAAAAGTACAAAATTTATTATGCTTTTAAGTTGAAGTGTATCGATAATTAATAGTGCATGAATTTTTTTCCCCATAAAGTACACCTACTCCTTTGGTTTGTGCTTCCAAATGATCTGAATCGTCTAGTATGTAACGAACTTTTTTGCTTGCAACCTTGAAGCTACTAATGATGTCGAGCAGGCTACAAACATACATACACACAAACTGTTTTCTGAATATTTTGATTTCCTAAGGAAACCAGTGCCAAATTTTACCGGTGGATATCTACTTAATTGAGTCATTCTCATCAGAGACTGGGTATTTTACAAGTACTTGATTTCACTATACAGTGACTAGATTATTTTATTTAGTTAACGCTTGACTTTAAAAACTGATTATTGAATATAAAAAGTAAAGTAAATCCCACAGAATATAAGTAAAATAGTGAAAACAAATAATTAAGTAAACAATATCAAGGGGTACAATAAAATGTCAGATAGTGAAGGAAATATTACCCAATGATGGAGAAGTGTTGGGACTAGGAGACTATGATAGAAGAGTTATCGATTCAGAGATACAATACTCCATGCTTCCAGAGAACTCTGAGATACTGTCTCAAATTCAGACTGAATTCGTCACTTTCAGTAAGCACTGACGACTGAAGTCTAGATGTCATGCATCGAACTGATGCCTTGAGCATAGCTGCATGACTTAACTACGTAATCAAAGTTTTATGTGGGTTTTATAACCCCACGTATTTTCCTACCTTTTTATTGTTACACTTTTTAGTTCAGTAGAACACAGGAAAACACTACAAGACACTGATTACCAATGTTTCTGGACAAAAACTAACTTGAGCAAAGTTTCTCCACCGCACTACCATCACCTTGGTAATAGTCTGTCTTCCAACATTGTTTACAAAACACCTTTTTTATTTAACCATACAGCTCATGCAAAAATGTTCTATAGATCGTTTTATCGCTTATTCCTAAAATAAGTCACAAAAAATGCATGTCTCCTGATAACTCCATGCATTTCAAATCTTAGATGTATTGCATAGCAAAATATAACACCTAGTTTTCACCAATGTATTCATTAGACCGGTTTATCATCTTTTTGATGCGTGTTAGAGACTGTATTATTCCACAGTTACTAATATAGAACCTTGAAATATTATTACTGAGTACTGGTTCAAAGTGTTACACTTTAAAGGGTAACATGCAACAAACGATAAAGCAAAAAATAAAACAGAAATAACGTGCTCGAATGCTGTAGAAATTGTCAAAATAAAAAAAGAAAGAGGAGATAAAGAATACAAGGTAACAGCAACTAAGATGAAGATAGTGTTCATAGATCTGTGCCATTTTGACACATTCTGTTACGTACAATAACTTAAATCTCCAGTCATCAATATGTATTGTCTGGTGGAGATCAACACTAAGTTTCGTATACAAGAGACATTAGAACTCACTGAATTAACTTGTTCATGACAATTTTCACATTCACGTTTGGTCCTAACAAACTGTTCATTCAATTGATTTAAATCGAACTGCAGTTTTTCACGTATCGACAAAGATGCATCCAACCTTTTGATCAGTTCGTTGATCTGATTATTTAAACGCTAAAGAAGAATAGTAAATTATAGAGAAATGTTTATAAACTTAATCGTGAAAATATGACTAACAGTAATTGAAACGTGGAGAACATTCGTAAGCAATCAGTTGAAGTTGCTACTGATTGGCTTAGACACTCGAGTATCAGAGAGATTATATCAGAATATAATGGATTTTCGTCTTATTCTATCAATAAAGGTTTGCACAGCCAAATATCGGTACTTTTTTCCAACAAAGCGATTTAACAAAGAAGGCTTTCCTTGGTTGCTTCATAGGATTGCAGTTCATCCGACTAAGCTGAACGTTTATTGGTAAGTAACAGGGAAAACCGTGAGGAAATATGCATCCCCTCTAAGTTTCGATTCCCAGCTAGTTAAATCAACCACTTGTACAATCCAACTACGATTACATGATGGTATTTTTATCATTAGTTTTCGATATACTTTATGCTTTAGTTACTAAAATTTCATCCAGAATACCATCCTGGTGACTAATTTGTGTATATACATACACGTATATATTAGGACGATGAGTAAAACAAGGGTTAATTCACACATAAATATACAGAGAAACATAAGTAAATTAACAGCTTTCGAATAAGATTATAATGATGAAGATAAACAGTAACCTCGATCTCCGCATCTTTTCGGCAAAGCTCTTCATGATTTAGTTGATTTTCTTTCTAGAAAAAAAAAGATGAGATCTTTTCGAAGTTGTTAACTTACCTCACGCTGAGCTTCAGCCATTTCACATTTATCCTTTAACGTTGATAACTCTTTCTAAAACAGAAGAGAAGAAAATGGCACTAGTTGTTAGAAGAAGAATAAAATGGACAGGAAGCCCAGGTTGAAGGGAAAATCTGATGGCTCCCTAAAAAGGTGAATCTATGGGAAGCCAACTTGGAATAGACTATACACTCACTTCCAAAGTTAGCTACAGCTGAGCAAAAAAGGAACCTTATTCTTTCGCTCTGCATGAGAATCAGAGGAATATGCATTAATGACATAACAGACGAAGAGTTGGAACACCTTCGAGTAGTATTTCTTCAGAATGACTAACCCACAAGATTCACAGCAAAAAAGCATGAAGCCAAAACAGCGAAAAGAACAAGTTCTTACTGTTCCTAAGAAAATCATATTCATGAACACTAAATTCAAAGGAGACAATACAGCAGAAGTACTGAAGAGTCGTTTTTCTAAAGCATTCAAGAAAACACTGCGAATGGTCTTCTCTAGTTGACAGTTGATTCAAGTCGGGGAAGTAAAAACTAACTTAAGGACTGGGATTTTTTCAGTAGGATGGAGGCAGTTGGTGGGATGCTCTGGACCTAGGTTTCGTGCCAGTTAGCAAGGTGTAGAGGTTGCAAATACGCCTCGATGGTGAGTCCCAAAGATATGATAACTAAAAAACACAGTATGATAGCGATTACTGCATTATGAAATATTTTCCTCGTCTTTGTTTAGTTTGTGCAGGTCAACATGTGGGTCACTTCATAGATTGCCATGGGCACATCAAGCTTCTTATTGATTGTGGGTTTCTGCTAATATCCAATTTATCACTGTTACATCTTATTTAAAATACAAACTTGGTACAGCATGCGGACCAAGAGATGGGCTACACAAAGTAGTGTAGAAACACTAAGAAGATAAAAACGTGACACAGAAAGCGTAGACAATCAACGGAAACAAAAACAAAAATAGGTTGTTAGAAAAGCTATCTGAAAAATACATCGAAGGAACCATTCACTGCCTTTGTCCGCTTCTCAAGGATAGAAAAAACTAGAAAACTGTAGCATGATAACTATTGACTTCGATTCTGAATCATGTCTTCTGTCATCTCAAACCTCTGGGTTCCATGATATTTCGGACTGCATGCAGAAGTGAGGCGTCTACAGATGCAACCCAAAACATATATCTTAGAGTGCTTCGTCATACAGTGACCACCTTTTCGCTTCCTCCAACTAGTCACAAGACAACCGAATATTGAAATATTTGGGGACCAGTCAGCTGACATATGCAACATATTTAAAAGTCGCCGAAGCTGGTGTTCCAAGATAATCTCACTCAATAAAGAAAGACCTACATCACGCCATACTACATACCGCCTCACCTCAGAATTATTTTCACAGGGTGCGGGCAGTCCTGTGAGGACAACGGTAATCTAAAATTCAGAGTTATCGGTCTCTACAACTCGAAGAGGCTGAAGAGGTTTCACAAGTGCAGAGCGGAAACGCTTGCATTGATGCGTTGTACAACTAAGTTCTTACAGCAAGGCCAGTGTTACGATGTCGCAAAGGCGATCCAGATTAGTTTAGACCTGAATATTACTCGGTTTGGTATGTAGACATAATACTAGGTAACCGGCTCGCTTACACTAACACTCTTAGAACGACAATTTCGATGGCCACCAAAACGCAAGATGAAACTAGGACATATTGACGCACGGTCATAATCCATTCTGGTGCTCAAGAAGAAGCAGGAGTCCTGAACACACCCACTTCATTGGCAGACGATTACAATATTATGTATTTGAGACCAGGTTTCACTGGTAGAGAAAGGACGTCAGTTAACACCATGGTAACGGTTGTGCCGGAATTTAATGCTGGCTAAAACAGGTTATGGTGTGGCGCAAACCTGCAGATATTCCTAACAGTTGACCTGAGACTGACCTATCCCCAGTTATCACTCAAAGCAACCTGCTTTGTGCATGGATCGTTGACCTGTATGTACAAGTCCCTGACTAGCACTACGACATCTACTGACCGCACATGGTCTGGTAGAGGTTAGTCAACTGATAGTAGAACTCACCCTTAACTACATCTGGGTTGCAGCCAGTCGGAAAATAGGTAGGTATAACGAAAAGATGATGTTTCCCTTACTAGTTATTTCTTATTCGAATTGAACCTCTTACCCAAGCAGTACACAGACGAAAGTTGATGATTAAGTAGATTGGCGTAACCCGGCCCTGGTACTTGGTGTGGCACAAAGAGCAGCAAGATTGCCTGCTGATACCACAAACTTTACAGATAATCTCAAGATAGACACATCTTTTGAGCTGGCGGATGGGGTAGCACCTCATGGGGTGGGATCTTGTATGCAAATCTCTGAAATATAACAAACATCGATGCTGGAGCTTTTCAGAATACTGGCCAAACCTCTCTGTTTCTAGATCTAGGTCTGAAAGTTAGTGACCAGCCGAAACGGTCAGCATGGTTTCAGAATAGTCCCATTAGATGTCGCAGTGAATAATTGTTTTAAGAGAGGCACTGTTAGGGGTACTGAAAAGACACAAACAGGCCAGAACTTTAGTCGGTGATGAGTTACTAAATGAAAAAAAGATACGGATAGTGACAGATCGGGAGATTATAATGATTAGGTAATGTTATTGTGGTATAACGACAATAAATGGAATGATTGAGTAGCAACTTCGTTTTCTGGTGAGTTGGATTTCTTGTAGTAGAAATTGGTGAGCTCTCTATGAGCCTCATTATTTATCTTAATTCACTCAGTTTGTCAGACTGAGTTATCACAAGAGTATTTCTCTGACTAGGATTTACAGCGACTGAGCCCAGTCAGAGGAAATCATAACTGATTCCTAAATACCAGTCAACACTTCAGTTAATCTAGTTAGTAATCCTCGGCTACCACCCTTGAATATCTCTGGTGCAACAACGTTGAGGGTTTGGTGCCCTTCCTTGTTCCAGGCTGCTTACAGCCTTCTCAACTTCTATTTCAATGTACCAACTAGACATCGAGCAACCAAAGACTGGCTCCAGACCGGTTGGACTCTTCCTCGAAATATTTTTTTCCACTGCTTCAGTCACCTCCTCTGCGAGTGATGCACAGACTCATGCTTTGGTGTTATAACGTCCCTAAACAATGTCTTTTGCACTTATTTTTTAATGAATCTTAATAACTGCCTATTGTTACGTATCGCCTTTGCCTTTGCCATCTCTTTAGCCATAGCTGTCCATCACTGTCAATGGTCATTGCATAGACTCTCTGTCAACCCACACTTGAGCTGCTTCCACTCTTCATTGTAGTCTGAGCCTGTAGGAATACGTTCGCATGCATCTACAATTTCAGAAGTTTTTTGTAACATTTTTAAGGGTTATTTTGGGCCTAAAATGTTGTTTGATAGACAGAAAATAGATGACGTTAGACTTTCTTAGAACGGCTGATGATATAGTCTCATTTTGATAACTGTCTAGTCAGTTCTTTTATGAAACCAAACTTGGAATCCTCGTCATCAAGTCATGTTCAAAAGGATCTTTCAATAGTAATTGTAATCTCTGATCGATTACGTTCCCCAAGGGGTGTCAAAATAAGTGAAAATTTATGTTTAACTAATGCGGTATACACAGAACTTACTTCATGCGTGGATTTCATTGCAGCAATCAGTTTGTCTGATCGTAATTTTTCATTTCCAAGTGCAAAAATCAAATGTCGAGCAGAATTTAGGCGATCTGTTAACTTAGCATAAGATTCTTCTTTAGATGAATGATCATGGAGATTAGTACACTCTTTCATAGGCGTTCTACAAGTTGCATTCCCGTGATCGAAAGTAGGACTGACAGACGCAGATAAATTTTCAGCATCAGCTTGAATCTTTAGGTTACTCTGAGGAGATCGATCCCATAGGGCCTATTAAGATTTGAAGTAACAATGAGGGAATGTCAAAGTGAAGCAACAGAATAAAACACAACAAGCAGCCAACGTTCAAAAAATATACCTTAAAATATACATTTCCGGTTGCAAAATAATATTGACAATAGTGTAGAATATCATTTCTTTCTGCCATATAAAGTCTCAGACAAACAAAAGCTATCTCAGACAGTAATTTATTTTTTCAAGATTTCAGCTGCTCTTTATATCATTTTTGTTAGTCAGCTGTTACATAAATTAGTTAAGTCCATGCTCTTATAAAGCTTTCAATAATTGTTAATACTTGGCCATTCGCTTAGGAGGTTTCTGTAGAACTGATTGATTTGGAGTCTTTTTACAACGGACCAGGATTAATCAGAGGACCACTGAAAACCTGAAAGCACTGAACAGTTGATTCGTGCTAGTTAAAAACTCCTCAGTAATGTACACCCATGCCCCTATGAAAAATCGACTCACGACTATAACTTCCCATAGTAGGCATGTCATTACTTAGCCACTGGGTCTGAATTTAATGGCTTACGATCTCCAACTCCGAGATGAACTTTCCAACCAAGTCGGGTGTGTAGACAAATACTCATCGATGGTAAAGGACAATAGTTGCACGGCTTCACAAATCAACAGGAATTCGGAATGTGGACCACTGAATTCCAACTCAGTGGCAACATGCTCATTGTGAAATCTGACGGTCCTGAGTTCGACTCATCACATAGTTGTGAGTGCATACTAGTGAGAAATCCCGAACTAGGACGAAATATCTGTTCAGTAATCTTCGGTTTTCAATGGTTCTCTGGTTGATTTCGTTCATTGAAAAAAAAAATGAAATATTTAAGTGTTTCAACTCATGGTAAGAATCACTGTTTACTCCTTTGACATACGTTCACTGAATACGTTATTTCAATCTTTGGCAACACTTTATCAAGAAACGAAAAGCAAATACCAGACTTGCAAGCTTCCGTGCAGTAAGCAATGAGTCAAAGCTATTTTGCCAGAGCTAATCACACTACGTGGCTGCCTAAACCTCAGTAGGTGAAGAGCGGTGCTCGAACCCATGACCCACTGGTTGGAAGTCAGCTGCCCGACTCAATGAGCTTCAGAAAGATGAGTAGGCATTCTGATTACAAATGCACTGTCAACTTGGGATGGATTTCTAGATATTATCAAACCTATTTCCAAAAAGACCCGACGTTGATGTGGTGGTTGGGCTTGCATATCACAATGACCCAACGAACTATTCCTGTGGATAACTTGTTCCATCGATGAGGGTCTGGCGGCAAAGTCAAACTGCTGCTAGCTGGATGGAATGTGACGACAGTAAGGTATTTCTTTTGGATGACCAGAAGTGCCACGCTGATGTCACCTTCCAAACGGGAAGACGGGGCATACAAAAGATCAGCCCAAAAAGCCACACTCCTCCCAACCCCAAGCGGCATACTGATAATTGCATAGTCGGATAAAAAAACAACAAACTAAAATCTCAAAATTGTCAAAATGCCATGTGTGATCAGCCTTAAGCAGATGTCGCCTTACGAGTATCCGGGGACTCAATGACTAGCTGTCGTGGACTCGCTGCTGGAGGCATTCCACTGATTTGTAGAGCAGGAAGTGCATTTCTCGACTAGATACCAGTCAACAACCATCTATGTACTCTTCGACTAAATAGATCTGTAAGAACTACAAAGGATCGTGAGACTAGGCGATGTTTATTCTTAATCTCCACCTACGCATCCATCGACTGCAGTTCGGATGATGCAAAGGATGAATTCGATGAGAAGCTGTCAACTTTGCTACATAAAGCAAAACGTTCAGATGTAGTCATATCGTCAGGTGACTTTAAGGCTCAAGTAGGGAGGTTGAGTTAATCGAAAAGGCAAGCATCTTGGGGACATTTACGGAATCGTATGCCAACGAACCGACAACGGTGATCGTCCGTTGCAATGTTGTTCCGACAATCACTTGTTTCTGGCTAGCGCTGACTCTAGGCATAAGGAGAGACACTGTCTCACAACACGTCCACTGATTTCAAACCAACGATGGACACAAATAGATCACACTGCTATGAGTCACAGCTAGGGGGGGGATAGGTGGGGTTTGAACTCCAAGCATGCGCTAGTATGAGCTTGCAAATAATTCATGATTAAATATTTTATTCGCATATTAGTAACTTAACATGAGAGAAGCCAGTTTATAGGCACCATTACATTGATATATGTTGAAAAATCTACAAGATTTTACGGGAGCTGAATGATACAGAAGAGAGGTCATTAAATTAGATTAAAAGCATCGGAATATTTCACAAGTTATGAAATGAACAAGAAAATACCACTTTCCAACATATACAGAGTGTTGAAGTTTGGATCGTTTTCAGTCATACTTCTTTTCACCACTGGAGGCACCAACGTAGTGCAAAATTCCAAATCTCCACCATAAATAGTAAACATGTTTGATTCGCTTTCGTGATGCAACGTTACGCTAGATAAACGTCTATTTTACCATGAATTATTGTGCTTATAGCCAAACTGGCCGCCGAAAACAGTAGACAGTGAGGCTTATATGTGCTCAATTGGTAGATGAAGACACCAAGAACGCATTTAGAGGGGAGTCAGCTAAGCATTTATCTGAACGTGACAGCAGTGCTCATCCTGATGAAACCTGGAGTGATATTCAGTCGGCTGTAGAAACTGCGGTAAAGACAACTGGTGGTAACCTAAACCCGAAAACTAGTAAACATCATTAAACTTCTGAGACCCAGACGAATTCATTGATGCGAAGACTAATTCCAGCTGCCTGGCTCTGACCACGATGAAGAGCGAAAGCAACTCAAAAGTATGTTCACTTAGCATCTTCACATCGATCCCGAACAGTGGTGGGTGGAGAGCGAGAGTGAGTGAGTGAGATACATGGAGAAAGTGTCAGCGTTGAGCTTATTAAGAACACTGACAAGAAGCGAACGATAGTGAAACCAACACCGAAAATGCTGAAACTCTGGTAACCTCTCAGAACGTTGGGCATAACACTTTGAAACACAGTTCAACTGTCCCTCAGCAACCCATCAGTTAATCAATACCCAGCCTAAGCCTGAATAAGATGTATACGTCAGTCCTTCAACTCTCCTTGGAGTTGAAAAAGCTGTATCGAATCTGAAACGGTGTAAAACAACAGGATCTAACAGTTTGTCACCCGTTCCCAAGGATAGAGGTTGGAAATCTCTAAACATAAAGTAACAGAGGTATTACGTAGTGCGTGGGAATCAGAGGTAGTGCCATCAGACTGATCTACTTCACTGATCATCTCAGTCTAATAGAGTAGAGAAATCTTCTTCTGAAAATCTGAATAGTGTATCCAACATCCTGGGGTCCATAGTTACCCGATGCCTACGTCGTGCTCGAGAATGTCAAATTCAAGAAAACCAGGCGAAATCCAAACAGAGCTGGACGACAATGCATCGATAATTTTACCCTCCGACAGGTTCTGGAACTCAGACATACCTACCCGGCAGCAACCATATTTGCCATGTGTTTTTTTTACCAGGAGGCGGCATCTTGAAGTGTCGTAGGAGTGAGTGCCTGAATGTGAGTTAAATGCTGATAAAGTATGTGACGTTAATGAAACCTCTCTTTAGAGGTATATATATATATATATATATATATATATATATATATATATATATATATATATATATTCACGCACCCGTGTTAAGCTTAAAGGAGAGTTGTCGAGTGAAATGATGACAGCTGGTGGCGCTGGTCAGGGATGTCCACTTTCACCGTTCCCTTTTAATTTCGAGATAGACGAAACAATAGACATAACCTTACGAACGCCTGACCTCGCAGGGATTCACCTCATCCGTGCATAACATCTCTTTGACCTTGAGTATGCAGACAATGTTGTCTTGCTAGGCGAAGACGTTGACAAAATACAGGGTATTCTGAACATGTTGAGAAAATATTTGAGTATGTTTGCATGTGTCTCGCTGGCGTATGTCAAGTGTATCATCATCAACCCGACGAAATCTCAGCTCGGATGGAGAAGGCCCGTTTGTCACTTGCTCCCAACTTGCGTCACATAACGCGCTGACTGTCGAGATATCCGATTATCTATCAAAGGAAAAGTACACTGCGCTTCAGTCCGTTCTGTCCTATTGTACGGTCGTGCAAAATGGCCGTTGAAAGTAATAGACAAGAAGCGATAACAGGGTATGGTCGCAGGTGTCTCCGTAGCATTGTTCACGTTTGGTGTGATCATTGTGTGAGCAGTGTTGAGGTCAGCGGAAGGGTACTAGGCAAGGCAAGCTGGTAAGTCGATTGATGAAGTTGTGAATGTTCATCGAGTGAACTGAGATGGTTGACTTGGGGGGATGTACTGCGCATGCCGATCGACTACCCGCTTCGATGTGGCATGCTAGTGGAAGTTGGATTAAGTTGAAAGAGAGTCCAAGTTGGCCAGACCATGACATGGAATGAGTTGGTGAAGTCTCTTGCTGTCGGTTTGAGTCATGTGGGGCGATGTAAACTATCAAGACGAAAGGAATCGGTGGTTGAGGATTCTTGGTGACATGGTCACAATGGCGTAGATTTATTCACTTTTTGATTTCTTCTATAGTTTGAATATTCAAACTTACCTTTATCCTCAGATTGTTTATTCTCTCACACAACTTTGTCTTCTTTGATATCACTTCTGTCCAGTTGTTCTTTGTATACTACTTTGAAATGAAGCAACTTGAGCCGATACATATGTGTGCGAGGTTCTACGTTGATTTTATCAGTCAGACAGTTACTTCCCAAAACAAATGAACAATTTTCGGAAGCGGTAAGCAGTGAAATTCAACAGACGTTTCTTTATCTGACTTTCAACTCAATGTGTGAATTCAATGGCATCATAGTGTGTGTGAGTACTCCCGCAGATACACGAACTTTACAAATACTCATACTTTGCTTTTAAGTATATGTTTACTGTTATTAACTGATGCGAGTAGGTAGAGAGTGAACCTGCCGAACAAAAAGTTTCTATGTGGCCAGAATAACCTAGGTTAGTACTCATGTTCTTTAATGGGAATAAAAAGAATAATTCTAACAGTTTTCCAATTATTTATAAACCAGACTAAGCTTTGAAATTTATCTACGGTCAATATTCTTTTACTGAGAAACAACAGTAACACAAAATGGGAAAGTTCCGGAGAAAATATGATATACTGAGCTGGGAAAAAAACGACTTTGTGAAAACAAAAAAGCGCCAAATGGCGTTCGAAAGTTTCATTGTGAATATCAATGCTAAATATTCATCATAAATCCTGATAAAACGGTCTTCTAGTTTCACAGAAAATAAAATTTACATGTTCAACGTCTGGGGTTAGTCGACGGAAATCCTACCAACAAAGAAGGTTTTGTGCTTGTTGACATTCATCAGCGACGTATTTTTGCAATTTTGAGAAAACTGATTCTCCTATGAAAAAAAAACATTGACTAAACCCGACAAAATGTACAGAAATGTCGCAGAGGCTGAATATCCTTCAACAGTTGTATGTGGTGGTATACTACTGCAAACTTTGTGAAGCTAAATAGGAAAAATTAAAATTGAATGCGCCTTCAATGTGTTCATAAACTGAATTTCCTTTATGAGGTAGTTATGATACTTAGGATAAACCGAAATTACCATTTGAAACGACAACTGATTGCCTCAGGGTACACATAACTACGGTTTATATTAGGATATGAAATGCAGATACACTAAGATCTAGGTTATTTAATACCTGAGTAAATTTTTCGCTAAAGCCTTAACCCAAGTAAGTGAGCAGGTACAATCGCAATAATCTTCGTAGCAAGAATAAGTAAAACAGGACAACCGTTACGTTACACATTCTTAGTACTTTATCGACCTCCATTATTTTGCTACTTTCCTACCCTCACGTTACTTCATGTTTTGCATTTCGCATACTATTGGGAGTGCGCGAATGGGTAACACTTTATGGCTGTTCACGGTTGAAGGGGTGTCAACAGAGTAACTGAAACAGGAAGAAGAAAATATTCGTGACCGCAGAGCCCATGAGAAATCTGTTTGAGGATTGCCACACAGACTCTGAAGGACTGTTGCTCTGCGAGTTACTTGTTCTAACGCCGCACAGGGAAGACCCATAACACCGGTGACGGAAGATCGTAGACCACGGAAGTGCGCTATTTTTAGAGCAGACCTATTCTAACCCACTCCCCTTCCCACAGGTAAGGTAGCTCCTGCATGGCACTTCTGGTTATCCACGGGAAAAACTTCACCGTTGTTACACCCTATCTATCCAACAGTAGGACTTCACACTCTAATTCCGATCATGGTAAAGCCGTTTACACAATAACAGTAACCGCTTTTCGTCTTACTGCTATCCAACAGATCTTTCTGGCATGGTAAGACCTCAAGGAACAAACTTTCCAGCTAGTATAGTCCGTTGGGTCATTGTGATATGCAAACTGGACCACCACGTCCAGGTAGTAGCTATTAGTGGTGGCATTACTGTTCATAATATTACACATTTTAAACGTAACTAGAGGTCGGATTTTGGATTACCAAAGTTTCATAATAAACTTATGGCTTTCGAAATTCCTGGATGAATTCCACGACCAATATGAAGTATGAAAACACTAATGAAAAACGTTTGATTGATTTAGTTAGCTTACCTGAATGGACTTGTGAAGATCACCAGACTCCAAGTCTTTTATATCAACGCTTACGTGAGATTTGTTAACGTTCTCCAATGTTGCGCGTAAATCATCAGCTTCTGTTCGAAACATTTGGAGCTCTCGTCTATAGCGTTTGCTGTTATGCTGGCTGAATGCAAGTTCTGCTTGAAGCCTAGCTATAGAGCTAAAAAGTTATGGAAATAAGGCAAACACTAGTCATTTGAACATAAATGAACGTTCAAAAACATGTTAAATACACCAACTATTGTAACCGATTACAAGTTACTTTACCGAAGGTGATTTGTAACATTTCAACCAGTCTAGATACACGGCTCAGACCAGCAATGAGAAACTTCCCTTACGAGCTAATCTCACGTTATCGATTGGATTGGTAACGAGGTAAAAGAAAAACTTCTTAGTGTGGTCTGACAAATATATGGCATCAACTCACAAAGTTGGAAGTACCACGCATGATAGGGAGCATAGGGTCACTAGCATTGGTAACAGATGTGATACCTGTAACAAGAGATGGTAAACAACACATCTCAACGACACATCCATAGTGGTTTATACTCACTTATTCCCCAAAATACACGGGATTTTCGATCTGCTCTATTGTTTTTTCATCATCTATTGATTTCAACCCAGCTTTTAGGTTAAAACTCTGAGTGACAATAAATCAACCATTTGTCCGCTTATTTACCAGGCTACTAGAATGACGTCAAGTTAGGAGTATCAGACAGACAACGTAGGATCTCGTACACATTTGCATCGGCTCAATTTACCTCACTTCAAAGTAGTACACAAACAACAAACGGATAGAAGTGATATCAAAGGAGACAAAGTTGTACCACAGAATAAAGAATTTAAAGATGACGGTTGGCGCAAATATTCAAGCTTCAGGTGTCAAGGAGTGGATACATCTGCGCCATTATGACCGTTTTTTAGCCAACCACTGATTCCTATCGTCTTAAGGGCCCTAGCCACACAGTCTACATCTCGTCACACGACCCAGATCAATAGTTGCACGTATTGATCTGGTTACCCCCGAACACTCTTTCAACTTAATCCAACTTCCACTAGCATGCCACATCGAAGCAGGTAGTGGATCGACATGCTCAGCACATGTCCAAACCAGCCATCTCAGTTCACTCGATGAACATTCACAATTTCATCAATCGACTTACCAGCTTGCCTTGCCTAGCACCCTTCTCCTGACCTCAACACTGCTCACACACTGATCACACCAAATGTGAGCAATGCTACGTCTTCTTCTTCTACTTCCAATGGCCATTTTGCACGACCGTATAATAGGACAGAACGGACTGCGGCGTAGTGTACTTTTCCTTTAATAGATAGTCGGAAATATATATTATGATTGTTGTTATTATATCTCGACAGTCAGCGCGTTATGTGACGCAAGTTGGGAGCAAGTGACAAACGGACCTTCTCCATCCGAGCTGAGATTTCGTCGGGTTGATGATGATACATTTGACATACGCCAGCGAGACACATGCAAACATACTCAAATATTTTCTCAACATATTCAGAATACCCTGTATTTTGTCAACGTCTTCGCCTAGCAAGACAACATTGTCTGCATACGCAAAGTCAAACAAGTGACTTCCAGAGTGTAGCAGTATTCCTACTCCCGAAACCTTGGTGGTCGGTTACGACTTCAGTGTCAAATCCAACGGACTTCAGATCGAATCGATACACTATTGCATTGGATATGGCACCCGAATCAACTCACTAGAACACAAACGACACTTCCTATTAAGTCGATATTGAGGTAGAACCAACTAGAGATTGATGGAATTTCGACTGACAGAAACACCACATGGAATGAGCAACTGACGATTTTCCACAGCCGAGTGCTCATTGGTCGGAATATGAAATCAAATATATTCTTCGGCACTCGCATCCGACGCATTTGCAGCCAGGATGCTACAGATGAATGGATAAACATTCTAAGAAAAGCCTGACCGAGAACGGATGCCCGCCTTGGTTCATGGATGAAAACGTAAAACTGAAACCCAGAAAATGACTCAGTTTCGGTGTCAAAAAAGATGCTACATATGAGCCTTGACTTCATATGTGATCCAGTTGCTAGAATCCCCCTATCACAACCTTTTATCTGATTGCGAAATGTGAATAGCACTTGTATCCTGTTTACTTATCAATTCAATACTCACCTATAGTGCAGACTAATCATACTCCTTGTGCTTACTGTCTTGCCTGGAGAGAAGAAAACCCCCTAGACTCACTTTCATGCTAATAACATCAAGTGATAGCTACATTTCTGGTACGAGGCGTCTTACATGAAAATTAACATTCCAGGCTATTGTTCGATGGGGTGGAAACTTTTAAGCTGTGAATCGTTATCTATGGTGCTGTCGGGATAAACTCAGTTGGATAGTTTTCTGATTCATGAAGCAGATAAGGATAATTTCTTTTGTCTTTGATGCAGTGCATTCGTGTCCGTGAAAACTATGCACATATAAGGCATTTTTCGGGTAAATTTGTCCTTGTGGTTACAGGTCCTTGTTTTCTGGTATTTTCTTGTCTCAGTGAAAAGTCACCGTCGAGTCCAGTAGAAGTGTCTAATACCGCTCACCACTGATATTACCTCAGTCAGGATCCCTGGCTTAAGATATAAAAAGGACTGACTGAGCGAAGAAATATATTTTTTTTCAATTAGGTCTTCATCTTGGACTCTACACTGATATATAGGTTTACAATTTAACCAAATTACCAATCACGTGGTGTTTCGGAAATAATGATGCGAATAATCAGTAGAGTTACTAAAATAGGGAATATGAATAATGATAGAAACAAGAAGGGGAAGAGGTGCACAAAATACATCATGTTGACGGTCACGGTGATGAAAGTGGTCGAACAAACTTCTTTTGGATACAAAGGCTAGGTTTGTAAAGGTGGATTGCAATCGCTTCCGCTATGTGAAGTAACCGAGTGCGTAATCCATGAGGTAAATTAATTGGAATCTGATGGATAATTTTGAAGGCTTTTCCAGTAACCACTTGATGTCCTTTGTCAACTAAGTGTGCAAGTATGGAGCTCTTTATAGTTCTAATTTGTCCCTTGTTCAACCATGATGGGTGGTGCTCAGAAATTCGACGGTGGAACTGCCTTATTGTACGCCCAATGTAACTCACTCCACAGGAGCAGTTGAATTGATAAATGCACACAGAAGTGGCAGAATCAGGCAGTTTGTCTTTATTTCTTGCACCTAGAATCGGGCGGTTGTAGGCGGGACATAATTTAGCGGTTGGGAATGCTTTATGCAAGACTCTTTTTATGCGTTGTGTGATGATCTCACTGGCAATATCACTCTTGAATTGCAGCTTCAAGAAGATTTGCTTCTTAGGAACTGTTGGCATTGTTTTCTTAACCCTCGTAATATTCATGTGCTTAGTTACAAACTTGTCTGGGTAGCCATTCCTACTAAGCAGATCACGGATGGTGGCGCACTCTTCCTTTATAGCATCCTCTGAGCAAATAGCTGATGCACGGTATGCTAAGCATTTCTCTAGGTTCCTTTTGTATTGGAGGGGTACAGCACTAAAGAAGTGCGTATATTGACCTGTTGATGTTGGCTTTCCATAAACACTTCGCTTCAGGGTTCCATCTGACCTTCTTACCAACAGGACATCAAGAAATGGGATACTATCATTTTTCTCCTCTTCCATTGTGAAGTTGATTGCCAGGTGAACACTACTGAACTTATTCAGAACAGCATTCTTATCAGTCTCACTTTTGAGAACTATAAAGGTATCATCCATGTAACGACAATATAACTCTAAAGGGCTTATAGTATCGTTCAGTGGACCATTCTCAAGTTTTGCCGGAAAAAAATCTGCTAACAGCCGGCCAAGGGATGACCCCACGGCAACACCATCAGATTGCCGGTAGAGTTCATTGTTGAAAAGAAATTGTGCATTCAGAACTACTTCTGAGGTGTACGACCAGTCTTTTCTAAATATATAAAAAGGAGTCCACAGTTACATCACTGTGAGCTGGGTCCATTCATACTACTGTGAAGACAATTCAGTGTGTGCCTCACGTTCTAGGTTGGCCGATGGATCGAGGGTTAGTCCCAGTGCTGGAACATGTAATAAGCCTCAAGGCAGTATCCAAGCGACTGGACCAGCTAAGTTCCCTCCTAAGGCATTTTCTTCTGTCACTCGTATTTTAAGGTCATCGGTTTAGTCCTTTCCATGTTGATATAGTACAATGGTGGCTTGAGAATCGTTAAGAGCTGCTTTCATCGTAGAATTAAAGAATCGCTTTCCCAGTAGTGAACGGTTGCAATAACAGTACCTGAACTTTTTACCACGTCTGTAAAATGCTAGACAGAAGCTTCGGGTTCCCAAAGTTGTTAATGGTCAATCATACTGAGGCCACTATTGTATTATGCAGGGGTGCAGGTGTCTATTGGTCGCCAATACTCCAGTTTTATTCACTTCTTTTTATCGTGCTTGGAGTCAATGTCATCGGTAGGAACTTCTCTTGAGGTGGGCGCCCACCAGTGTTTGTCTGCGCAGCTTTGTCTTCAAGCAACCTCACCACTGTCAACAGTTTACGACAACTCATAGCTATTTTCCAAACAGTCCTGGGTGCTCGAGCAGGCATTCAATATCCATGTGGGAATTAAACGGAGTGATAAGGTTCCACAGACATTCTGGATTCATATTTCTGTGGTGTTGGTACTCTTTGTGAGTAAATTTTGGCTTTCACGTTCCAGTCATTCGCGGTTCGTGACGTCCGGCAGTAGTTGACGCTCAAGCGGACCCGGATTTTCTGTCTGAAGTGATTGTCCTTGAACGTTACGTTCATGTGGCTATCCATGAACTAATTGCTGGCTTAACATTACTGACTTTCTGTGCTGTGACTCTCTTTGATGGTTAAGATATTTGGGTAACTAATACTCCCTGTAAGAGCCTTTAGCTAAAGACAGTTTCATACGAAACTGCTGACAAGTTAAGAAGAACCACGTGCACGGATTGTGAGCTATAAGGAGGGAATACTCTTGCGGTATGTCCCTATCGCATCATTGGTGTAGTCACTCACTACGGAAGTCAAACTTCAATGCTGTGTCCATCGTTACTACGATGGGGCATACGTACAGGAATGTTCACCTTGACCGCTAGGCTTTACCGCAGAATTTAGCCCACTTCACTGCCATTCCCTTCTAGTAGATTTCCCAGTGGCTTTAGGGCGTGTTAGAAGCTTAGAAAGTCCTAGCATCGTCTGTACAAGTTTCTGGACAGAAAATAGAAGTGTTCATAGTGCCGTTCATGTTTTGACTATCCCAGTATATCAATGTCTGTAGTGGTCAGATGCAACTCAGTCCAGATGAAGAACCAATGGTCTCTGAGCGTTACTGACACCTCTGAAATCTAGCCTATGTTACTATGCTGTAAGGGGTGGTCAGTGACTGTGGTGGGGTCAGACTGGAAACTTTATCGGTTCACAACTCCGTTAGCACGTATATATGCAGATATAATAAACGGGATAAGAATGTCCATAGAGCAAGCAATGAGTTATTGATGTCAACCTGGCCTTCGTTGTTCCAGCTACTCGACGCTGTGCAATACAAACAACTGCACACAAAAGTTCCAGATATATGGATGAATGAGGTATATAATATTGCAAAAGTCTTTGGGATAGTGATTAGGCCAGAAGCAGTTGTCGGTATAACGTGAAATGGCACGCTGGTAATTCGTTCATTAAATATTTTTTTTATGTTATTCAAGTCTATTTAAACTTAATTCCCAAGATATTCAGAGCGATCCTCACTAATCTAAGAAGCCGTGCATTTTTGTCCTGACAATTTAACTCGACTTGTTCCTATATCTTTATATTACTTTTCAACGTTCTTAAACATCTTGATTACTTTAGGATGAAAATGATACTTCGATTTTTTTTGTATATCACCATGCTTAACTAATTGCTTTCAAACATGAAACGAATTGTACATTCTCATCGAAAAGTCGTATATAAATTTTATTTTACAGCCTAGTGAATGAAGTCGCCGAAGAGCTTCTTCGCTTAACCACTTGTTTTCATTTTCAATGATTTTTCTCAATAGCACTTAATTTGTTAACATCTTACCTTTGAAATTCATTTTTACACTTGGCGAATTCCGTTTCCTTAGCTAATACACACATTTCCAAAGCATGAACTTTTTCTTGGGTACATTGTAGCTCAGAGTGTAAATTATCATACTTATTTCGCCAATCTAAGAAAGAATGTTTGAATGCGAAGAAAGAAGACAAACCATTTTCAGTACCATGATGTTTTCGTTTCAAATCATCTATTTGTTCATGAAGTTGATTATTTTCCTCTTTTAAAATATCAATCATTTTCCTACGACAAGCTGCATAGAAGTCAACTAACTACAACTCACGATGCAGAATCTAGAAGCACTTGCTTTTCATTGAGTGATTCCTTCAATAGGACATTTTGAGACTCCGCAGCATAAACTCGCTATTGAATAAAATAAACCATGCTTACAGAATTTACCGATGACTCCAAGTCTTGAGATGTGTTAGCATATCGATACATTCTCTCGTAGTTGTACAACATTAGCCTAAGTCTAAAGTTTTCACGTCTCAACTCGGCTGCAGTCTAAAATGGTTTTAAAAAATGTAACTAGTTAATTACTTCTTCAAGGTCTAAAGCTTGTCCTCCATCATTGGGATCTAGAAACAGATTTAAATAAAAGAAACTACCTACTATTTTCCAAGTGATAACATTGACCTTGTGCACTACTTTTGTTGGACTTTTCAGCCACATGACCACTGGAATTAACTTTATACTTCTGGCAAAAATACTAACCTCATGGCAGAATTCGACTTGTCCATGTAAGCTGCTTTATGTTGGTGGCCTGAAAACAAGTTTTCCAAGTTGAAACTCAATCACGGTTAGTAGTCAATGGTTTGAATAAACTTTATAGCAGTAAATCATTCAAATGCACCACACATAAAGGATGTTATATACTGGGTAGACTACAGCATGACGAAACGTCCCACGAAATCAAATGCTTAGGGTACATTTTATGAATACCTATCGGTGGAGTTGTGGTTGTGCTCAGGTATGCAGCTCTCACGTAATGTGCGAAGTTTGCTCCGTCAATAGAGGTTTGAGTAACCAAGCAGGGTTTTCATCTATCAGAATACGTGTGGTACAAAATCTAGAACATGGACCTGTATTTTGCTTTCAACAACAACAAACTCCAATCACCATCAATGGGAGAAACTTAAAGGAAGTAGCCTCTATCACCTACCCAGGCAAAATAGCATCGTTTCAACTACAGGCGGCACAGACGAGGATGTCAAAACCAGGATTGATAAAGCAAGACAGACCTTCATTAATCTGAAACCAGTGTCGAGATCTTCTGCACTCAGCATGCGGAACAAGATACGGATTTTCAACACCAACGTCAAATCAGTGCTTCTGTATGTTTCAGAGACTTGGCGCGTTACGAAAGGCATTTCCAATTAACTACAGACATTCATCAACAACTGCCTACCCTGGCTCGCTACTGAAGATCAGATGACCAGAAAGAATAAGCAACAAGGAGCTCTGGCAACGAACCAACCAAGAAACTATCACCCAACAAATATGCAGGAGGAAGTGGAGATGGATTGGGCATACACTGAGAAGGCCGACTGGGGACATCACGCGTCAGGCCAGTCCCTCGAGTGGAATCCCCAGGGGAAGCGACGAGTTGGACGTCCGAGGGTGACATGGAGGAGATCGTGCGAGGAGGAAATGAGAGCTTCTGGGTTGTCGTGGAGCCAGGTTCAAAAGATTTCAGAGAGCAGAGTGGAATGGAGACGTGCTAATGAAGCCCTATGTTCCACTAGGAACCCAAGGGACTAATAATTATTATTATTATCACTAAAAGCCAAGAAAAATGTGGGCTGTAAAGGAGAAACGATGAAAAGGGTAGAACAACTGGGCTAAGCAACAACAATGCACTTCCAACTGTAAAAGCTCTTAGTTGTGTGAAAATGTAATCAGGACGGATAAAGCTCACGAAAAAGAATAGGAACTTCTGACTTGTACCCTAAGTTTTACTTGAATTCAAACAACAGGATAGACACAAAGCAGAATGACCTCAGTATACCTGTCGATCGGTTCAACATATTTTACACTAGCGGAGCGAAAAAAAAGGGAAATTCAATATAATGAAGACAACAACAAAAGTGGTAGCAGTGGGGACAGTTGACATTTTGATGTAATAGCCAACCCTACCTATCGAAATGATTGAGCTAGCTTTGTTGTCTAAAACGCCTGTTCCTTGAAGTCCCATCAAGCCAGGAGGGCTCGTTACATGATGGTAAAACAAAACTAGCTACCATCATAGTCCAGTTAGTCTACATAACGGCTAGATCTGAAGGTGAAGTGCCGTTGGTTTCACGAGGTTTAGTAGCAGTGAAATGATTCTCGTGAGTGATTTCGTCTTACCTCATATAATAGGAGGTATTAGTAAGGATCAGCTAAAATAGCGCACTTCTATCTATCTTGCAGTCAAGTGACACCAGCGGTTAGGCTTTGTACAGTCCAGGAACCAGGCTTCAAATAATAGATGCCTTAAGAGTATAGGAGACCGCTAGTAAAACTGAACAGCAAAAATTTGGTAGACCTGAAAATGGAACTCATTAAGGGGTGAGGAGTAGTTCAAGTTACTACACCTCATAGTATCATAAAAAGAATATGTAAAAAAAAACTAATATCAAGGTAGACACAGGTGCATGGGAGGGAAGGAAATTAGAAAATAAAGGCTAGCGAAAATGTTCAAGCTTTAGAAGACGTCAAGGAGCAAATACACCTGTGGTATTGACTTGTTTTCAGCCATTTCACGAGAAGCCTTCAACTATCGGTTCCCATAGTCTCAGAGCTAATGAAGTGCTTGAAGTTGATGGTGCTCTAAATGCGCCACCGACAAACCATGCGGACTGATATAACTGCCTAACCAAGCATAGCAAACTGAGGATACAGATAACGCCAACTAAGGTGTAACCAACAATTATGAGACGGAAGACGTAAATGTACAAGGATATCTATATTTTTATAACAAATCTATTCATCTCATACGACTGCGTTCCTTCACAATTTGTCATTTTAACGATAACAGTTAGGTAATTTGCATGGGTATAGATTGCATGCACACCCATGTTCGTTTGTTTAGGAATTGGTTAAGTTGTACTTTGGGTGTTTCCGGGGAAATGTTTGAGCGCACTTTAAAACTTCTCAGTTTTTTGGAGAAAATGTCCAGGCCCAGTTTGGAGCCTTTACGTTTTGCAGGGGAAAATCTTTGGGCGCACTTTGGGACTTTTGGGGAGATTGTCGACATTTCCGGGCGCGACGATGCATTTTCGGCAGTAATCCTGAAGCTTTTAGTGCCTTTTTTACCCAAAAGTTTTAAGGTTCACCCAAAGTGTTTGCTGGCTCGATATTACCTCGTGGAGACTATACAGCTACAAAGATGATTTCTTCGCGAGACTCGTTTGTCAGACGATCAGGCATGCAACAAGGTCACTCCTTTCCCAGTGGTACCCTAAAGTAAACAGGTTTGGATGTCTTATGAGGCAGTTCCGCAGGATGTATCCCTCCCTCTAGTATGAAAACTGTTCCTGGTGCGGATCATACCATACTCCTGATTCATATGTATTTAAATTAAATTCTTTATCAGCTCTACATCAAAACAAATAGCCTACAAGATAAATGTACTCCACAACTCATATTGGAAACCAATAAACCTACATTCAAAACTTCATACCTTCTTAGCGCCTTAGTTCTTATTCTGCTGAAGTGCCTCAAAAAAACAAAATTTGACCAGTTCAATATCCAATATCATTTTGCGAGCTAGTGTGGACCAACTGATTTCCTCGCGCTTGCTTCTGGTTTTGCAAGTCTTTGGTGGATTCCGATGCAGTAGGTCTACCTAACCGACTGCTGTAGCGCTGGTTTGCCCGAAGGGTGGTTGGGTGCTGGTTAAATTTGTAGGGTTTGTGTGATTTTTTCAAGGACTGACCAGTAGATAGGTTCCTCAAGTGTCATGCCAGCAGATACTTGGTCAAACTGGTTGTAAAAAGAAGAAAGAAAACATGTCCAGAGAAATCAAGTGGGAGAAAGTGCGAAGAAAAAGAAACAATAGAAAAAAAGATTAGGCAATAGGAAACGGAAGGTGAGAAGATACCCCAGTAGGTTCATGTAAGACAGGTGATGGGGAGATTGCTTATCAGACAGTGTGAGGACATAGAGTCAGTAGGAAGAGGCAGCAAACAATATTATAAGGTGGCTTATGTGGATGCGATTAATACAAGATGGTAAATTAAGCTGCCTACGGGAAAGTATAGGGTTGAGCCAAGTTTTCAATGATAGTGACGTTACGAAGTATCCGGTAATGGGTTGGCTGTGCTGAGTTAGCAGGTTGTATCAGCCTAGTCTACGCCTCAGCTGGATGAATGCTACCCGGGCGTCTCTGCGTAACTGTCCAACCTCATCTTGAAGCCGTCAACAGGCGGAACAGTAGCAATCTCGACAGGCAAAGCGTTTCGGTTGCCTCAAACTCGCAGAGCAAAGAAGTGTGAACGCACATGGGTTTTTACCCTTTGGTGGGTGGTTCTCCTTCGGTTACCGGGAGGATCGCCAGAGTGGTCGTTCAGCAGGATTTCGCTGATCGGGTAACTTGGTTTGCTTAGTATTTTGTAAGCCGCTATCAAGTCACCACGTACTTTATGATAGCTAAGAGAGTAGATTCCTAGATCTTCCAGCCTGCCCCAATAGGGTTTTCGCCTTCGGGCTTTCTCTATGAGGTTCACATCTATTTTCAGATATGGTGATGCAATGACGTTATGGACGTCCAAGTGAGGTCGTCTGTGGGTCTTGTGCAGCTTCCAAAAGAGTTCCGAGGTGGGGCACCTAGCTGTCTGCTCGTGAAACGCAGTAGTGCATAAGCTCTGGAAGCGTCTTCTGGATAATCAGAGCTTGTGTCCAGCCTATGGGTGTCCATTAGTCCCAGGTCCTTCTCCTTAGTAGTGTGGGAAAGTTGTGTACCACAGAGAGAATAGGGTACTCTCCGAGAGTCAGGAGCGCGTAGAAACATAGTCCGACACATTCATATTAAATACCGCGGTAAAGTTGAATCTATACGCTTCTTTTTCACGTGGCTCTTGAATATGTCAATTCGCGAATTCACTGTTGTGTCCGACTACTTATTATTATATTTTTGTAGTAGTATTTCTATTTATCCCATATATTTGGCTTACGGCCCTGCTATTCTCTTCATATGCTGTGTTACCAACGTTTCGGTACGCTACGTATAACCGTTTGGTGTTTTTCTATTTCAACAATAATTTTCGAATTTAAATGGGAAGACCTAGGGCTGAACGTTCTAAAATTGACTGCTATGATGAGAAAAAGCAAGGACTTGGTCATTCCGGCACCCTTTTGTTTGACAAAAGCATTTTTACTCCGTATACCCCAGATCCCGATGAACTGATATGTCCCAAAGTTTTTTTCAGAAATGAAGACATCATACAAGTGATGAGTAGCAGTATTAACGACCACAGGAAAGAAATCGATAACACTAGGACCATGATAGAAGAAATGCAGAGAATAGTTGAAGATTCGCATCCATTACCGTATCTTTTTGGAAAGCATGAATATTTGTTTGAAGGCCATATGGAGAAAGCAGAAAAGTCAATAGACCATTTGGTAACAGAGGCGATGAAGAGACTATCGTTATCTCAACAGGCCATCGTTTATAATATATCTGATGCCCTACCCTTGGACGAAGTTAGGACAAGGGTATTAAGCTCGTGCGGTATGACAGAAATACACTGTGACTGTA